AATGCCGAATTTCGGCATCATCGGCAGCGCGTGCCGCGGCCGGCGCTGGTCCCCCATGGGAACGCGCCGATTCGGAGATGCTTATCGCGACGAGCTGACGAGCTCGCGATGGCTTTCCGCCGGCTGGACGAGCTCGCCTCCTCCTCCTCCTCCTCGTGCTTTGTCCCAGGCGTCGATCTGACCTATGTCTATCTCTGCCAGCGAGCAGTAGTTCGTCCGCGAGCCCGGGCCGGGGGGCGCTCTTACGAACCAGTCGGGACGATCGACGCATCGACTACCGCGCTTTGCAATAAATTCAATATGCAGCTGGGGTTCGTCCATCCGCTCGGAAAGGCCTGTCTTGGCCGATACGGATCTGGCCGAGCTTCGGCGCCAGTCGCCGGCGTCGGGCCTCCCTTTATCCCTTCTTTTTCGAGCCGCGGCTTCCTCAGCGTAACCGATACCCGTAGGTAGCCCATGCTACACAATCCCGACGACCAACCACCAGCACCACCGCGGGGGGTCGCTTTTTCGTGCATACTCTCTCTCTCTCTCTCTCTCTCTCTCTCTCTCTCGTTCTAATGGCGCTCGCGCTGCCCTTGATCGCTCCTTTCTTCGCTCGATTGCCGATCGGCAGCCGCGGACTCGAGTCAACGTCGCTCGCCGAGACGCGCGTTAATGAGCCGCGTGTAGCGCCGAAAGGGCGGCCCTCTATCCGCTCGACGCGAGGCTGTGGAGATCGTTGCTGGCGTGGCGTCGGTTGGCTTCCGATCGAACAACGGCTCTGCGTTAAACAATTTTATTTGCCGCTGCGAAGGACTCGTCGCGACGATCGACGCTCGATCGTAAAAATAAGTCGAACGAGTTCCAACAGCGCCAATGCAGCGTTCGATTGTCAAACGCCGCTTTCTACGAAAACAGTAGCCGAGACGATCTCTTGCGCGACGAGCAGCGAGGATAGAAAAAAACGACATACGGGAGAGGCATGCACAGGCATGCGTGATAGAAAAACACGAATGGCGCAGATAGTACAGAAAGATAAGAAGAGAAAATAAAGGAAGAAGAAAGAGGAAAAATAAAACAAACGGGAGCCGATGAGTTCGCGCACGCGCGCGGAATCGGCAATAAGGAGGCGCTTCTCTGTTTTCGGTCGCGAGCGATGGATCGCCGCGCGATTAACGGGACGTGCCCTACTGGTGCTGCGAGCACGCGCTGCGCGACGATTCTCTCGTAGCGCTTGGCGCGGCTAGAATTTCCGATGCTCTCCGAACGAGAAAGAAGGAGAGAGAGAGAAAAAAAAAAACAACAAATCATTTCGGGAGTTTTCCTCCGTCGCATCGGGATAAGTTGATTGGAGGCGCGGCTCCCCGAACGTAAATTGATTCCTCGGTTGCAAGATGTCAGGAAATATAAGGTAAAGCGCATAGGAATGGCAATTAGTGCGGCGATATATCACACGAAAAATGGACACGCTCGAGGTATATCCAAGCCTGATAATTAAGTGTCAAGCCCTTTTCCGAAGCGTTTTCCGAGGTAAGGGAAAGGAACCTCGGTTTTCACGCTGCGCGTATGTTAATCGGACGCAGCCTTGCTTCTTTTTTTCTTCTTTTCGTATAGGCATTACAATGTCAAATTTATACTTCTCGAATATTTCGTGCGAGTGGCTCGCTGAGAACGCGCGCGCGCGACAAGCTATTCTCATGATAATTTCCACGCACCGAAAAAAAATAAGTAGCATCTAACGACAAGAAACGCACGGCAGGGACACAATCGGCAGCTTGTGGTGTATACAGATTGGAAACAGACCTTTCTCTATGCAAATAACGTTCGCGTATTATCAAAATTGTTGGTTTATCGCGACTCCAACGACGTCTATCGATGTTTTCTTTTGGCCTTTTACTTATACGATTAGAATTCAAGAAGAATGGAGCAAGACAATGCAATGTCGAGAAGAAATAATCATCAATGCTCACTGAATATACATGATAACTGAGAATACTGACATAAACTAAGTAACAATGGGCATATGTAAGCTCCAATTCGTACGATAAACGTTCGCTGAACATAGCGTCAACGTGACTCTCGGTACAATCGCGTTGTTGCAGCCAGTTACAACGTTGACAAAAACAATGTACTCCAGGCGAATCGTAATTTGCACACTGTAACAAGTCCCGGGTTGCATCCAAAGACGCCGATCGGCCCGAGATCGCGGGCATCACACAAAAGTGTCGGCGAGAACTAAACCGAAAGTGGAGATTTTAATCGGTAGTGGCGAGCGAGATGGTCTTAAAGCTCGGCCGCCCTTGTAAGCGCGCGCGCCTATTGTCTTCTAAAAAGATTTCAGCGCCGTCGGCTTGGCTTAGCCGAGCGCGTGCTCGGAAAAAATAATTAGGCGACCGGGGCGTGCAATTGAGATGCGAAATGCGCGTGACTTGGACGTATAATTATGGCGTTATTTACGAGTTGTCGAGCTATGTAATCAATGGAAACTTTGATGTCCACGCACATCCTTTCTTCTGTCTTCTCTATTGCGCGCTGTCCGCGTTATATGTAGTGCAAAGAATCCGAGTGGGCGCGGTTCGGAGGGACTTTCGAAGGCTTTCCTTTCGAATAAAAATATGTTTTTCACGCTCGTCGACTTTCATATTTAGAGCGACGAGTACCTATAACTGAGGTTTGCGTCGGTTGCTCTGTATCTTCGATCGAACCATTTCAACCCAATCGACATTCAACGTCGCCCAAATACTTGCTAATCCTCTTTGCGAATCCGAAGCGGCATTCTCAACAACTTTCCAAACTCTGGGCTTTCGAAAAAAAAAAAAGAAATAACCGCTTGGAAATCCATCTTCCAGCAAAGGAGAACGCGAAGAGAAGAGGAAGAGGGCCGAAATAGCATCTTAATTCAAGCCGTGCCATCGGTATAATCGCGAGTGGGTCATAATTTTTCCCGAAAATTGAAATTTTTACGGGCGAGGAATGAGCCCGCTGTGGCAGAGAGACACGCGCGCGCGCCCGCCCGGCCGCCCCGCGTGGATGTATTCCAGGCAGGAAAGGCAGCAGCAGCCTCTTTTCGCTGGGCGCGCACACGTGTCTCGCCTGCCAAGGAGCGCAAGAAGCGAAGAAGCCTCGCGCCGCCGCGAGATAAGGTCGGAGACGTTTCGAAACGCTGAAGCTGCTGCTACTGCAACACGGTAGCCGCGGATACGGATTGAATGCGTAATCGCCACCACTCCCCTCTCCTCCCCGGCCGATGCTCTATCTTCAAAGGACTTCCGATGCCTCGGCGTCATAGGCATGTCGCGCGGTCGTTCGGCTAGCTGCAGCTGCGGCGGGCCGTTCGGAGCACTCGCGATCAATTTGAAAAACGCGATCCGCTTTTGCATTTTCTTTTCCGTCGTCTTCGTGCGAACGCGCGATAAAAAAAACAATCGCCAGCAGAGAAAAGGAGAACGTTTGCGAGGCTCGCTGGCTCGTCGAGCTGCGCCCGCGGCATGCGGGATGAATCACGAGACGCGAGGAATTCGACGAAAAATCGTCAAAATTCAAGCTGCACGCAGCCGCGTATGTGCAGTCTCCGCGCGCGGAGGATATAATATCGGTCGCCGACGGGCTCTTTTGTGTATATAAAGCCTCTCTCTCGTGCCGCGGTTGTTTATGCTTTCCTGCAAGCTATATGCAAATCACGAAACGCCACGATCGCGATACCGCGCGAGCGTCTCTCATTTTTCGTACGTGATTTTCCGGCGAGAGAGCTCCTTTTGTGTTTAGAAGTTGAGCCGCCGAAAAATGTTAATGAGATGCACCTCTTACTTACTCGCGCGAGAGGACAAGTGTTGCTCTCTACATACGTATTTCACGTTTGCGAATCTTAAGGAGTACGTCTCAAGTGTACATTGGCGGTTTTCACATTGGGCACGGATTTCCTCGTTGCTCGATGCAGAACACTTTTACAAGGCAGCCAAGTTGACAATTCCATTCAAAAAATCGATCCCCGTAATCGGTTTAGTATACGTGTACAGTTCGAATCAACAATCATTTTCAATGAAGAACAAATTTCCATAACTTTTTCATCGCGGCCTTAGCTCAAAATTAACACCCGGAATTTTACCGTCCAACTCGTAAAAAAGGGAGATAAATCCCCGTGGCGCTTTTTCTCTTTAGCACCGAGCGCGAATTGAATTGACGCCACCGTAAAAAAAAAAAGAACACGAGAAAGACGGGAGAAAAATAAGGGAAGCGCCGCCCGAGAGCCGAGAGAAGAAAAGCCGGAAAAGGAGGCAGGGAAAAGGGGTAGAAATTTATGACTCTATCTCTCGCGAGGTGGCTTTAAATTCGGGGCGGGAAGCCGAATAAAATGATAATAAAGCGCTCGCTCGCGCCATGGAGAGAGGGGAGGAGAGAGAAAGAAAGCGCCGACTCCGCCACTTTGTCGCGTGCGTGTTTGCGCAATGTTTTTTTTATTTTTTTTAGGGGTGTGTTGCCGATAGCGCTTTTGCTCTTCGACTTTTCTCTCTTGGCGAGATGTAGGCTTTTTTCCGTGAGGCATTTCCAGTGGATGCACAATCGTAAATTTAGCTTCCACTAGTTTTTCAAAATCAGTTGAAGCTCAAATTTGGAATTCCAAGGTGTATTTAACGATTTGATGCCGATTGTCTGATTTTCAATTCCGTAGCTTTAGACATACTACACTTCAAACTCAATGGTGGCGTCACCTCTCATGCAACTTCAGAACCCTGATTGCACTTATGACATGGATCGATACAGCAATATATCATTTTGTAATATTACTGTCAATCTTTGTAAAACAATAGTATTTGTCAGAAATGAATTTCAAAATTCACAAAACGCTTAATTTTTAATTATAGCTATTGCTTCTCTACAGTGATGGAATATAGACTATTCTATTAGAAAAAAAGAGGCAATAATGTTTTGAAAATACATGTACATTTTATTACATGTTATATAATATTAAAATAACTATAAAAAAAATATGACAGTACAATATAAGATAGAGAAAAAAACCCATTTTCATCCTGCTTATAATAAATACTGTAAAAAGGAAGTGTAACGTACAACTTGTAACAGCTTATATAATATCAATACTAGACTTTTTTCAATAAAAATGATAACATGATTTGAGTGAAAAGGGCCGAAATTAGATGTGGTATCTACAACCTCTGTGATTACATTCATATCGATTGTATGCACCTAAGTGGCAACCAAGTTTAGTCACAAAGTATATAAATTATCTAGGCACTACTGCACTTATAAAATTATTTATAAAATTCGATGATGCAATAGAAACATTTTATTTTCAAAGCATTCGATGTTGATTATAGAATCAATTTCAAGAATGAACTTGTAATGTTTTTTACCAATCTTTTTCATATTTTTTTTATAAAAATAACCAATGTTTTTTTTATTTTCTATAATTGCTAAACAAGCGTTATTCTTTGCATAATAAATAATTTCAAATGATAGTTCTAAATCGATTACTTAACAAAAACCCTATCTGCAGGATTCGAACAAATATTTTGGCGGAATTCAAATGAAGTGTTATATACGTTAATAAAATCTCCAGGAATACGTATATTTACAAAACTATTTACATATCTAAGCACTCTGTACAATTCGATCTTATTCAGTTTTCACCTTGAATGCGACATTGTATGTCGCGTTGAAGATGAAAATGACGATACAACGCACTAATGTTCGGGGGCGAAGTATGGTAATTCGGTGCGTATAATATATCGGTCCCATCAAACAGTCTATCTTGGCAGGGAGTAGACGAGGCTTTTTTATAAAACATACTTTTTACTTTCAACTCGAAACTGACGTTATTAAATATATTCGTTAATAACATTTATCCGATCTCTTCTGAGATAGTATGATTTATTGCTAAAGAGACTAACGCTGTGCTATAATCGAAAACTCGTTTGAAATTTGCGAGCTTTAAAATCAGTGCTTTAGTATTTTATGAAAATTTTGCATAATTCAATTGGCAACATTTTTTATTAATTATTATATACTATGTTTGTCAGTTTTGACTGACATGTCCTTAAAATATTAAACCTGTAGTTTATTATTCATCGTATGCTATTATTGCATATTATATCTTCAAAATTCATAAAAAATATTTGGAATCGTTGAGATTTTCCATATGATATTTTATGACCATCTGCCAAGTCTAGTCCCTGCCATACAAAGCTATGCTTTCAGAACAAAATAAAGGAAGAATACGCAACATATCTAAACGTTACTTTCCTATAAGCTTTTTTCTTTTTACGATACTTTTTCGCGATCGCTAGCAAGAAGAAATTCGAATATCCTGGTACATCTGAACGAAAGAGTGAATTTCTTCTTACTAGGTAAGCATTTTCAATACTTTATTAATTAGCAAATCTTTCGCTTTACTTCCTACGCCTAATATACGACCAAGTTGGCAAGCAATCAGAACAAGCGATTCAGTAGATACATGGAATGCTTTTATTTAATGTACGCAAATAAAAGCGTTTACAATATAAATAGAAACAGATATGAACACCTTCAAATTAGTGTTTTCTATAATTAATGACAGTGAATTAATTTGTCTTAAAAGTCTTACATATTTATTTTAGTTATTTTCATTAAAAGTTTAAAACGAGTGAAAAAACGTTCGTAATTTGAATTTTTAAAACGTGCTAAAGGTGCTCATGTCCATGTAAGGAATGTATTGGTACATTCATAAATAATATTTATCGGAAGCGATTCGTAGAAAACCGCATTTGCAAGATTATATTTTTTTAAATATTATTTAATAAGCGAAATTCGCTTTAATACTGATTAGAAAAACGCACTTTGCGTAGCACGTTTGCCAGTAAAAATGTTATATAAAAAAACAAAATTGCGTAACAACAACGAGCTATACAATTAACTTACGACATAAGTAACTTAGCAGATTAAAAGGAATTTAGATCAGTTTTAGCAAATACTACAGTTATTTTTGTTATGAATTAATTGAGACCAGTTTCTAGTTTAATTCGAAGTCTTCTCGTAGTTTCTATCACTAAAAAGGCATAAGAAAAAGAAAAATATCTAGGAAAGTATAGCATTTACATCTCACAACGAAAGTTTTGTTGTATCTACTTTGTGTATCATTACAAAAAAAAATTGTATTTTCAAGTCTGTTAAAATAATTGGGCTGGATGTTTCTGTACGTAAAGATGCGTTTTGAAAGTGCTTTTAGTTCGTATAATTATCAATTCATATTTTGTAGAATTCGCTGAAGTGCAAATAGTACCATTTAAAAATATACGTGCTAATTCCATAACTACTTTATTTGTACTTTTTCGTAGACCCATTTTTTTACTGGAATAAATACAAAATGAAATTCGCCATTCATTTAATCCATTTCAGTCTTATCGAATTGTAATACACGTTACACAAAGAAATGCACGTGACAACGTATAAAATAGAAAAAGCGTAGAAATGGTTTGAAAGAAACGAAACAAATATTTTACAAGTGAACGAAAATCGAAAATCTTTAGCGACCTCTGTATAAAGTACTATTTCATAGCACTATTTGAAGTTGAAACATAGTAAATCTCTCCACTACGATTACAGATCTAATAGTTTTCAAAACACATCTCAACATGACAGAGAGAAAAATAAAAACTTAATGTCCATTGTAAGTTTTGACTGGTTGCAAACGGTTTAAAGAGCCGTACTCTCGAAAGGAGAAGCCGTATGATTAGGGCTATCAGTAGTACAACATAAATCCTGCAATATAGGCACAGAACCATCTCTGATCTTAGCGAGATCAATGTCGGCAAAAAAGTCACTTTTCATTGTACCAACCGCGCTATCAGTTCCAAAGCTATCCTGTCTTTTCACATCTTCCATTTTGCAATAATCATCATAAAAGTCCAGAGAAGCCGACGTCCCTTCAAGTACGTTACTCTCGACTCTGCTTTCCACATTATTGTCAGTATCTTTCGAATCTTCAAAAGAAAAACTCTCAACGTAACCGAGATCTGATTTTTCTCGTCTCCTATTTCTACGTTTATTGCTGCTTCTCCTAGTCGCCGGCAACTCTTTAATTTTCGACTTCTGCTTTCGCTTCGGTGATTCGTCACCTATATTGGCTTCGTTCGCGTCGCAGGTGAAAGCATTTCTGGACGGTGATTCTTTCGTAGGTGATATTTTGGACCGTCTGAGGGGTGTAGTTGAATTGGGGGCTTTACACTTGGACTCGGCCTCGGTAGTAGTACTGCATGAATTTTTATTGCTTTGCAAATAAGATGAAGTATTTTCTTTTTCAACGGGTGCCACTATGGATTTACCAATCTGTCGTAGGTACATCCCAACAATGTTACCAGTAGTGTTGAGAGGTTTAAATTTTGGATTTTCGATTTTACTGCTCTCAGAAGTCAACGATTCATCGGACTTTCGACGGTTGACTCTATAAGAGGATCGCTTGGATTCGTTATAGTTAAGATTCGAAGGAGAAGTAGGAACTATGCTGGGAAGATCGACTTGCCCGATGAACTTGATTTTTTCGATGCTAGGGAATTTTTCTGATGAACACTATTGACAAAATAAAATTACAATGATTATTCATTCTATATTACGTGTGAGTACTTTTTTAGTAATAATTGAAATTTACTAAATTAGTTCTGGAGGAATTGATGCCAAGCCTACGATCCGTTGTCGAAGCATCTTCGCTGCATGTACTGCTTTTACTGCTCTGTCTTGAGTAAGAATGCCAGCTCGATTTGCCACTTGCTCCATCATTTGATGATTCTTTAGACTTGCTATTTTGTCTCGAGTATCGTTTTTCCCTTTCCGCAGGTGAACTATTACCTTGTTTAATATTTTTTGCGGGAACTTGCACGTTTTCTTTGCATTCGCTACTCTGTAGGTAAAAGTCCGACTCTAACGTACTATCATCACAGCCACGTCTCTTTTCTCGATGTACCTAAAATTAATTGAATCGTTATAATTGAAAACTGATAAAGTACTTTGATAAATTTTATTTATCAAAATCCGAAGAAAATTAGACTATGACAGCTTGAATCAAATTAACGCACCTGTCCCTCGGTAATAGTATTCAGTTGTGGACTTAACATGTCCGGTGTACTGGATTCACTGCTTGGATTTAGACCTGCATAATTTTTAATATCATTCTCAAGATCTGGAGGCAATGGCGCGTCAACGGACAAGTGCACCGCTAGGCCATCAAGCCAAACTTCCATCACTTCGAACGATGGCCTCTTGTCAGGATTCAAATCACAGCAAAGAAATGCAATGGTGTAAAAACACTCGGGACAATTGGCACAGAATTTGTCCTTGAAAGCTCGCTTGTTGAGACCAAAGTCCGAGGATCGTGGCAAGTAGTCGGGATCAGCTTGTACTCGTCCAATTATTTCACAGATGACGATGCCAAAACTGAATATATCGACTTTCTCGTCGTACTTATTGCCTTTCATCATTTCCGGCGCCATCCAGTAAGGATTGCCGACTACCGTGTAACGTTTCTTGCGTTCTTTACGCGATGTTCGAACTTCGCCGTCGGAGCGTCTTGTATATTTCCCTGCTGTCAGACCAAACGTAAAATGAAGGCCAAGTAAAATGAATAAACTAACAGAATTTTTACATTTAGGAAGCGCAAAAAAATAAATTTACCAGGACTGTTTTTGTCAGGAGCATTTCCGTTTTGCATAATTCTAGCCAATCCAAAATCAGCGACAACGACAGTTTTATCCTCGCGCACGAGACAGTTATGGGAGTTGAGATCGCGATGAATGATGTTCATGGAATGTAAGTACGCCATGCCAGCAGCAATATCCTTGGCGAAAGAAGTACGTTGCTCCCAAGGTAAAGTCTCGCTAGTATCGTGAAGCAAACCTCGAAGTGTACCACCAGATATGAATTCTGTGACAAGGTGAAGTTTTTTATCCTTGTACAGCACACCGATGAATCGTAGCACGTTGTTGTGATGGAGAGAACGTAGCACGGCGACTTCTTTCAGAAAGTTCTTTTGCGCTTCCTCATCGACTCTATAAAGTTCCTTCAGAACCATGACTTCATTTGTATCTCGATGCGTTACTTTATACACTTGACCAAAAGATCCTTGCCCAAGCAGCTCTCCTTTGACTAAATCGCTAGCTCTAAATATTCTCTGGTTCTTTGGTTCAACGCGGAACGATCTCGTGCGGCTCAGGTCGCAGGCTGGATTGGTCGGAGATGCTCTGATATAAATAAATATTCAAATTCCATATAGATTCAACTACATTAATGAAAATATCATAAATCTATTTTTGTTTATTTAACTAACCCGTCAAGTAATCGAGACATTGAGCTACTACGTTCCTTCTGTTGTGGATCCTTAGTCCTCTTTAGCTGTCGGCTTCTGTTACCGTTGATGTAACCCTCGTCGCGTCTTTTGAACAGTCTGTCTTTGCCGTCAGGACTCGTTCTTGGACTCGATGTACGCGGTATTATCGATGAGTGAGCAGTTGAAAATGCCGTTCGACGTGTCACTGCGTCTGGATCGTGTTCTATCGTTAGCTAAAATGAGAATTGGAATTAGTGAACTGAAGTCTACAATAATTTTATTTTTTCATAGGCGGATTGACTTACCTGCAATAGTGTGTCCGAGTGTCTGATAATATTTTCGATGCTCTCGATGGGTTGATCTTTCACGGGAGTGCCATTAACTTCGAGTATTCGATCTCCGATGTGAAGAGACATCAGATCACTGGACGTATTGAGCCTAAAAATTACGATTATTCGTTATGTCATTTATTACTATGTGGTATACTTTTTAGTAAAGATAATATTCTCTAATAATGAAGCGTCGATGCATGCATGTGACGGAATTTTGATTGGATTTCCTGTCGCTGATACGAAAGCGTGAAACAGTACAGACATTGTAATTGCCAGGACCAATATTCCACAGCATTGTTAGCTGAAGTAATTGATTAATTAAGCTTTATTCACCCAGCTTATCAAATAGTACTAAGTTAAAAAAAAGTCCTTGGCAATGTGCACAAGAGAGAAACATTAATAGATTATTTAATCTATTTATGCAGTTCAAGGTAGTTGCATCTATCGATCTCTAAAAAAAAGACTTCCGAGTGCTCATTATTGATTCAATATTGGTAGTACCTATTATTAGAGAAGTGGCAGCATAGCCTAAAGAGAACCTCCATCACAGAGGTCACCAGCTTACAGATCTTTCCACGAACATTTTTCAATAACCTGCATTTTTAGTGGAGGGTTATTAATCAAGCCTTGATTTTTTGTACTACATTATTTTTTTACTATTAATTGTGTGTGAACAATTATTACTCCTTATGAAGATTTAACATGCATAAAGATTCTATTTTAAAGTTAAACATTGCGTAATTTTTTTCTAGTTTGTTTCTGTTATAATACCTAATATAATTACTATTTATCTATTGCAATTGTTTGTGATGTAATGGTTGTTATGAATTTAGATGTGGGAAAAGTAAACAGAATGTTGTACTATTTTACAGATGAAAAAGAATTCACTCCGAGATTCGTTTTAAATTCCCAAGTTACCTTTTGCTAATTACACTATCGTATTTTTCTATTTTGTAAGATATCGATTGATGAAACAAAGATTTTATGTTGTTACTTACTCTGAAATACGGAATAAACCACCACCAGAGTTTCTTGGACTTGGTGTACTATCTAGAGTCAGTCTAATTCCCCGCTGTTTTTCGTGATTATTGGAATTTGGAGGGATCTCTACCAGTCTTATGCTGTGCGGTTTTCTGACAAATGGATAATTGGCTGTTTTACTGTGTGGTTGCATCTGTCGTTTATAACAAACTCCACAATAAAGCTTAGATCTCTCCACAAGAGCATAACTTTCACCATCGCCAATGAAAGTTCCACATGAATTACAAGCGAAACACTCTGGATGAAATTTGTGATCTCCAGCTAACATAACAGGCCCAGTGATGATATCACCACAGCCTTGGCATGCCTCACCATAGGCTGCCCAGTAATCATCTTTGCAAAATAGCAATCCATCTTTTTCAAAGTACCATGAGGACAATGGTGCATCACATGCTGAGCACCTAAAACATGATATTAATAAAATAATTGATTATGCTCAATTGATAAGACTACATAAAAGTAAGTGGTGTATTTGTACACACCGAAAGCAATCAATATGCCACTCTTGACCAAGTGCTTGTATGAATTCATCTTCATCAATAGTATTGAGACATCCAGCACATGCTGACACATCTTTTTCGTCATTATCATTGTTGTTGCTAGTACCATCATGACCACCACCAGGATCTGCAGTAATCACATTTAAAAAAACATTTGAATAAAGAGTTTTTTTACATGGTTGGATTGGTGATAAGCGAAGTTGGGTTACTAAAAACCGCAGGCAAAGCAAACATATACAAACATGCACCTGAGCTCGCGGACGCGTGCGGCTCGTCCATGGCTCCGGCTGGATCATTCGTGTGGCGGCGGTTCAGCAGGTGGAAGAATGCCGCGACGACATAGGTGAAAACCTGAAGATGTATTCGAATCAGCCAGTGTAGGTGAACGATAAGCGCGTTCTCCAACAGATTATCGCGGACGCGTTTCAACAATCCGTTACTCGTTGTGATTTCTCTTTCTTCTTCACCTGATCGTCGTCTTCGTCGTCGTTCTAGTCGTTGCACCACGCTGGGCTCTATTTTGCTGGAATATGTGCCTCCGCATTCGGGCAACACTTCAATCAAATGTCTCACTAATTTACTATGGTCTTTAAATTATCTAACGCAAGAATGTTAAGCTCCGTTTCTGCACATTACTTGTAGGTGGCTCTTACTATTTTTTTTTGTTTTGGCGTTCACATTTACTTTATACATATATATGTGTGTGTGTGTGTGTATGCGTATTCGCGAAGACAACTTTCGCTTTCGAGATCACTCGCGAAGTGCTAACCAGATTGCTGCACAGTGCACACTGTATGCGAATTCCGTTTTGTTGCTGATGATGGCTTTAAAGATGGCGACTGATATTTTTGGGGGATTTTGGCAATCGGTTGCTAGGGGAATTTCGGAGCGAGGTAATTTTCAAATGTTAACAAAAAATTTATCAAAGCACATTTTATTTGGCAAAATCGACAATATCAAATTTTATTAAATAAATATTTTTCTTTAAAGTTGCTCTACAAATCAATAAATTATTATCGGTTTAGCAAATGCAACTTCATTTATACGAAGACATCAGACGCTGATCCCTGATACACTGACAGCATATTTGATATGTAAGTACATACATACATAGTTGACTTTTTCACTGCACTGGTTTCTCTCGTAGACTCTGAGTGGAAATTATGCATTAAGGACTTTCTAGATGAGGAGACATCAAACCTCGGACCTATGGTGAAAAAAGATATTGTTGTACTATTAATGTTAATCTAGTAGATCTATATTTTTTATCATTGCCTGATGCACTCAAAAGTTAAGCAAACAATTAATTTTTTTTACCTTTATGATCTCGCTACACAACCCATTATTGTCCGACATCCGATATGTGTATCCTTATGTAGAAAGCCGCTTATGGTACTATATCCGGGGATTTCCGGGACAATTTAAAGTGACTTCAAAAATTATTAGGCGCATTTAAGTAAGTTTGTCAACCGGAAATTCAAGCGTGACGATTCCTTCGATGATACACATAAATTTGGCGTGGCATTGAATGAGTCAAGACAATCACAAATATGGACATGTCTTTGCGACGTTCTACAATTTCCAACTGCAATTTATAATTGTACGATTACCATTTCCTAAAGAGAATCAGGAGAAAGAATGTAACATAATGTCGATAAAAGAGGATTCGTTAAGCAATTGCCGAAAAAAGTTACGGAAACACTTGCCGTCTCTCTCGCAAGTCTGAGAGGGAGGGAGAGAGAAAGAGAGAGAGAGAGAGAGAGAGAGAGAGAGAGAGAGAGAGAGAGAGAGAGCAGCACGGCACATGTATCGTGCGGGGAGCTTGGAGTGGTGGGCACGCTCGATTCATAAAAGCGCTCGTTCTCCTTGAACTCGCCGCGCGAGAGCGCTCAAAGCTAAGCGCATCCTTCGCCATCAATGAAAAAGATATATTTGTGCTCGGTCACGATAACTGCGCGCGCGGTTTGACGACGGTCTTTATATCTGCAGGCAAAAGAGGAGAGCCGTCAGCCCGCGCGGCCTGGCGCCCACATACCGCGAGTGATACTAAAGAACTAAAGAGCGAGCGGGGCTGGGCGCAAAAAGTTGAACGAGAGACGAGTGTGTGCGTGAGTGCGTGAACGAAGGAGAGTGTGTGCTGGGTCAAGTAGCTTTCTTGGCGGTGTGTCTTGCAGGCAAACTCCAAGAAGTAGAAAGAACAAGAGGCTGCAGGAGAACGTGCCAGAGATAGAGCTGATGTACTGGTTGTGGTGCCTATGCCAAGGCGAAGATGCTGAGGCGGCGCCGCCCGCCCAACATTGAGCCCAGCCAGAGCCGCTCGTCGCCGCCGAGCCATGACAGAGGCGTCTGACCTGTGAGTATTTTACCCCCGTCTCGTCCCCTAGGCTCAACTCTGTATCTAACATCCATCTGGACTGGCTGGCCCTGTCCTTGCCAATTGAACTTGTGTCTTCTTGATATTTGCCAGCATTGACTTTCCTTTACATCTAAGATGGTACACTGTGCAGATACTCTCATTGACATTTTATAGTGCTTTTCTCAGACTTGTATGTGTGGGTGTTGTTGTTTCTTTATGGTTCATCCACCTTATAGTTCTGTTCAGTACTTAGTCTTGGTGTAGTATTGTCTCAGCTGCAGTCTGCATAAGTTACTTTTGTAAAGCATAGTGCTATATTATGCATTTTTGCATTTACCACCTGGCCATTTTCTACATTTAGTGACTATCTCACATTTCAATTTTCATGGCCAACCATTGGGTTCTAAAAGTTAACATGATTATGGATAGAATCATAATATTCAAGTTCAGTATTACTCCACATTCTTTGGTTAACTACATTATCTTCCTGTTGTGTGAATGATTATTGGCTTTCCACATGGCCATAAAAACTTGGCAAGTCCATTGAATGAAAGTTCATTTTACTCAGTGAGGTGTATAAGTGTGTGTTGCATGCTGAGTACACGTGTGTAACTGGATTTTTTATTATTTATCAAAGCTATTGCATTTACAATATTTTGTATAAACTGTTCATGAGGTTATTTCCAACAACTTTTCTTTAATTCCTCCCTATTGTTTAACATATGACCCTTGAACTTTTCTGCTCAAACTGATGTTTACTATTAATCAATACTACTGAATGAATACCCAGTTCATTGAGGGAGACATGTTCCAGTTATCATCAATTTGACGATTCAGTGATAAATTTGAATAATGTCATGCAATACAAATAATTTTGTAATATTCTACATATATGTATAGCTTTTTAATCATAACTATTTTTGTGAAAATTTATAAACTTTTTTGCAGAGCAATTTCTTTTTTTTTTAAACAGCAATTGCATGAATGAGGGTGATCAAAATGTAGTATTACTTTGTTCATAGTAAACACTGTGTGTGTGTGTGTGTGCGCGCGCGTGCGTGTGTGTGTGTGTGGGTGTGGGTGCGCGTGTGTGGGTGCGTGTGTGGGTGCGTGTGTGGGTGTGTTGGTATGTATAGAAGTGTTTGATCAAATGATAAATTGAAGTAAAAAATGATAAGATTTAAGTAACTTGTGTATATTTCTTATCAGATTTCATTAACTTTTATCATTGAACAAATACTTAATTCTAATGAATGTCATTGAATAAGTGTGTTCATTCAGAATATTCATTGAGAAAAATATGATGTGGTAGATTTTTGTTTATAAATTGCTGAAATTTTAATAATTAGGTTCTTATTTTGTATTATATAATTAGTTGATCTATCAAATTCAATACCCAATTTTTTCACTAATAACTGTTTTTTTTTAATTACAGTGGTAACTATTTGGTAAGAGTAAGGGCACAGGTAATGACCAGAGATGATAGTTCTGGAGGTTGGGTACCACTCAGTGGAGGAGGTCTAGCTAATGTTTCGGTACGACGAAGAGTACACTCTTCAAACAATCAGAGTAGCACAAGCAACAGTAATGGGGATTCAACAACATCCTTGGCCAGTTCTGAACCTTCCAGTATCAACTCGATAAATAATGGTAGCCAAGATCATGGGTCATCCAATACATCTCCACCTGGTGCACCTAAAGAGAAGCATGAATATCTTATATATGGAAAGAGGATTACAGATCAGTCTGTAAGCGTTTTAATCTGTTGATAAATTTGATGAGTTTTGAATGAAATCGTTAATCAATAATATTTCTATCATTGGGTAGGTGGTCCTTAGCTGTATAATCAAAAAGGATTTTGAGTACAACAAAGTGATGCCAACATTTCATCATTGGCGTACAGGAGAGAAGAAATTTGGACTGACTTTTCAAACAGCTGCAGATGCACGCGCCTTCGACAAAGGCGTTCGGACTGCAGTCGAGGAATTATTAGAAGGTTAGTTGTATTTTTAAATAGACGTCTCTCCCCCTTCCCTTCCTCCCTCTTTTTATATTTCCTCCCCTAATCAACGTATGCGCGTCGTGTAGCATATCTAAATTTTATGCGGATACATTCTTCAAATATCCGACGTTTTGACGTATAACACGCTTTTGATTGCGATAACGAAGCTCGCATTAACTCCTCGACTAGCAACCCCAAAACAATTAACAGTGTCTCCTTTCACGCTCCGACTAACTTTATCCTCATAAAAATGTGCCTAAATAATCGAATCTCTAAACAAAAAATTGCTTTTCTATTGCTCACTCTACCCCTCTGTCTGTCTCTTCCCAATGACGGATCGATTGCTTGGTAAGCACACAATTAACTGATAACTTTGTGTACCGGTGTGTGCATAATTTTTCAAATCCTCGCTGAATCATAATGAAACCCAAACTTTATTCCTAGGATTGGCGGAACAATCGCCGGTGTCTGATGACCATGGTCAAGCAGATGGCGGCGACGAAGACGACGTGTTCATGGTGAGTAGTCTACTTATTCGCACATGTCTAAAAGACAGACTGACATCCAGCATCATTGTACTTGCAGACGTTAAACTTGCCAGCGGAACCACCAGAACTACGGCAAGACGCACAAATATCGGGAGTGGTGCGAGTGACGAATTACAACAGTTCGCCACAATCGCTGCCGGAGCATTATTTGAGCGGCGGCAAAATGCCGCCGCCACTGCCGCACGAACCAACCGCTGACATTGCTTCTGATAATTACCCGTACGTGCAGCTTACGTCGCTCAATCACGAGTACCTTTATCCGGTGATCGACGAGCAACAGCACCATCAACATCATAAGCCAACCGATAGGCTAGACAGGACCAATTCTACGGGTTCACTTAAGAAGCCCGATATTCTCGTATCTAAGGTAGCTGCTTACTTTTCTTTTTGCTTCCATTTTTTTCTCAATTTTTTTTTTTTTTTTTAACGACCGTATTAGAAATATATTGTTGTTAAGTTTCGTATGATAAATAAAACGGCGTTACAACAAACACTGCAATATTGCGATACTTATTTCCAGTAGCATAATGACGTTTTATAATATATTCCGTATATTATATATAATATACATTTAGTTCTCTCGTGAATAACATTAAACAATTCTCTTAGAAAAATTTTCTTTTATCTTGCGAATGACTAGCAATGAAAATATATATTTTTTAAGTCTAAAACTAATTCCTCCGTAAAGAATATCCCTGGATAGAGCGAGTTAATTATTTGGACTGCGTAAGAGTTATTATCAAGATTATTATAGACTATTTACTCGCTCTTTTCCACAATAAAAATTCAATAAATGTCACAATTAATTACAGCAGATGAAACTTTTTGCTAAATTAGACTCGAAGTGTGTAAGGAATAATTTTTCGTTGACAGAGTACTGAGCGCAGGTCGAGTTTCCAATTCCGAGCAAGCTAATCGCCCATGCAAAAATTGAGCTGTCATGAGCTGAACGATAAATCTGTGTGCGTCTGTTTCAGCCAACGAAGCAAGCGTTGGCGGCGACGACGACGACGACGATGAGTTTCGCGAGCGGCAAAGAAGCAACGAGATCGGTAGTGAGCGGCAGCGGCAACGCGAGGTATCGCTGCAGGCACTGCCAAGAATTATACAGCGAGTCGAATAATCCGCGCGGTGCATGCGAATACGCGCCGGATCCGGTGAAGAATGGCATTGCCACGGTCTCGTGTCTGTCGTGTGCCCAGTGTATGCTCTATCACTGCATGAGCGACGCCGAGGGAGACTTCAATCAGAGTCCGTGCAGGTAAGACACCCCACGACAGACTGCTCTCTCCTAGCCTCACCGTGTTCTGCCATTAACACACAATCCATAAGCGATGCGCATATCAATCATATGCCTCTCTGTATTTTTAATCGGACCATCAATCGCCTTGATGCACACACCGTGGCCCGTCCATGTGCACTGTTTGTGTCTGTATGGGTCCTTCATTTTTCATCGTCGACAACTATTTCTACCACTGATACTTAGATACACTCGTGTGGAAAAAATATGCTCTGCGCCAGTATTTATTAATAATACAGTGCTTAGAAAACGCGAGCAGCTTTTTTCTTCGCGAAATATTAAAATCTGCACCGCACGCAATCTCGAACTGTTTCAATCGAAACGTCCGATGTTTCAAACGAATTTTAATACGAATTTACGATGAATTTCAATGAATTGATTTGAATTTTTCCGGTTCATTGCTAAATGGAAAAATATTGAAATGTTATTATTACGAAAAATGTCTTCTTATTTGATTTACGGATCTTTGAGCCTGTTCAATGACGTACCGATGAACGTTTGCTGTTATTAAATACTACTCATTGGCAGTTTTGATGAATATATAACATTAACGAATCGAAAGACGCGCATGTGTGTACATCTCGGTGTGGTTTTATTATATTTGACAATTGTAATTAATTCGTGCGTTATTTTCATTAAATCTTTCAAATTTGTCGAATTATGTAATAACGAGATCGCCATCAATAATTTTGTTTATATTAATTAAATTATATATACACACTCAATTATATTAATTATATATATATATATATATATATATATATATATATTGGAAAAATAAACTTTGGAATCAATGTTACGTTGTTTCTCATAAGATCAGTACAAAGATTAATATGACAAATCTTTATTGAAAGCGCCGTAATTTGACTTACCGACGAGCAATCCAATATTTCTGGCATGAGTTACGTCAAAACGAGTATATTCAATTAGAAAAGAAAAAATTAAGATCAGTCGAAACTTGTAACTGATACGTAACCCAACCCAACCCGCGTGCGCCGATGAACGCACAATCTTCGCTTAATTCGGAAACTTTGAATTCGCCGCTCTCATTTCTAAATTAAAGCCTGCGCGATGATGTGTGAAGCAAGCCAAACCGGATGGTGTGATTGGCGCCAAGCGTAGCTTCAACTGTAAGCTTGAATTGTCGCGCTTGCGAGCTGTCCGTCAGGCTTATTAAGTACATGCATTGCGCTTGCATAAGTGCGAGGCTTCGAGCTTTGGCGCGCGACGAAGAACAGCGCAACAGCCAACGGTTACTTTTGCTTTCAGCTGCATAGCCGAGGAGGATTGCGGCAAGCGCTGGCTGGGCATGAGTTTGCTGTCGTTGGTGGTGCCGTGCCTATGTTTTTACCCACCGCTGCGAGCGATCCACTGGTGCTCCACGTCGTGCGGGCTATGCGGCGGACGGCACCACCCGATGGAATAACCGGAGGGACCCTTTGATATCTCTGCAACGTTCTCTGCCTACGTCGGCGAACAGCGCCCGGAGCAGCGACAGCCATTGGTCGTAGCCAATGTCTACGAGGAGCACCACTTGGGCATGGCACGATGCGAGAGATACCAAAGGGCCAGGCAGCTACAACCGGTACATCCCATCGTTCATCGGCCTCGTCTATAAGCCGACCACACACGCGACAATTGGCTTTTCTAATGCTCCTTTCTCTTTCTGCCACTACAGATCGTGCAAACCCAACTGTTGTTTTGCATTACTGTCACGCATGACTATATAGCTTTCGGGTACTTTCTCGGTATTTGCATACTGTGTATGTTACGTAAACGTATACGGACGAATGAAGCTTCGATTGCAAATATTTTTCATGAATCCGCGTTACGTGACGTTGTTATACCTCGTCTGTACAGTTCTACATAGAATGTGCAAACTTTTTATTAGAAAAAAAGGAGATAACCTACTATTTTTCAGTGTACAAACTGTGTCGCGTCCCAAACCAATACCATTGACCAATACATTTTTTTTGAGCTTTCGGGATTTTCGCCGTTTAATGTATGCAAAGACCGTAATACACGCATGCACGTGCACACACACACACGCGCACACACACACACGCGCGCGCGCGCACACACACACATGTACACACGGGACGGAATTGGCAAAAGCATTTATCTCACTACAAAAAAAAAACACGACAACGTACTAAACTTGTATATTCTGTATGTTTTGTATATTTTGTTATGAGACTATCGTAAGGATGATGGTATATAACTTTTTTGAATCATTATATTTTAAAGTCTATAACTCGAAAGTTATGACGAAAGCGTGCGCCGAGTCGTAAATTGTTTGTTTTTCTATTTTTGTGAGACTTGACGTCGCGATAGAAGAGAAATTTTTTTTAGAAACAATCTTGCCCGTATGGTGATGAAGGTTAACCCTTGATTAGAAAGACCGTAGGTAGTTTGTGACCGATAAACGACGCATTCGTTTTCATCTTTTTTTTTGTGTAAATTATTTAAAGTGTATGATACGAGGAAAATATTACTTCGGTCATATAGTACTCACGGTTAACTCACAAAGTCGGTGCTCTTTCTGGGGTCACCGATTCGCTTATAATTTTCGAGAATTTTTCTTTTAATACCTAAAAATAAAAGAAAATTGTTTTTTGTTTCTCCAAAGTTACAGGCAAATCTGCAACCTACGGATATCGCACCTTCCTTGTCAGTTATATTACAATTTTGTAGTATGTTAAATAAAGTATTTTTATATACAATTGAATTTTAAAATGTTACTTTGTGAAATGTTACAAATTTAACTTGAATAGTGAATATTTTGAAGCAATCCTATAATGTGAAATTCGAAAAGTTTTAAATACAAGCATAACATTTTTGATTTAAGTAACGAAACAAAATAGATTAGTCTATTTCTTGTCCGTACTTTTGTTGTTCAATCTAATGGAGGGTTAAGTATTGAATAATAAAAAAATTTTACCAATGCTTAGATAACTATAACTGTGTAAGATGAATCGTTTGTCTGAATAGCGAATAATATTTTAAATGTTAAGGATGTAATTCTTCCTTTGAATATTTGAAAACGAGTAACAGAACTCCATTTAAGTCCTTGTATATATGACTAAGGGCTTCATGCGAGTCGAGTTTGTATAAATCTTTCAAATTTCATACTCGACATTTGTTATATTGTAAATAATCGGATTACGCTTAGCAATGTTTGAATTGAGAAAATTAATACTTAATCAATTGGTGGGTTGACAGTAACAGGAACACACACGCGTGTGTGCGTGTGTAGGTGTGTGAGTGAGTGTGGGTGTGTGTCTGTGTGTATAAAATGAATGTTAATGATGAAAATAAATTAGAGTAATTTTTTTCAGTGTAAAGTATTTTTTTAACAAAATAATTATATAAAAAAAGCAAAAGAAAAAAAACAAACACACAGATAAACACGCGTATAAAATGCATTTACATTTCGTGAGCAAGCGGAAACCGGAAGCGCGCGAGAGACATCGATTCAATTATCGCTTGTATACGTTTGGGGAAATTTCGAAGGATTCGCGTGCTTTAGTTCGACTAATAGGTGAATATTATACACTAACATATGCTACATATTTGTATATCGTTATGGATAACGATATTTAATCAATATTATCATGTATTTCCTGTCAATGACAGAAATTGTTCATATTCCTCTGTAGGATCTTTGTATTTTTGTTGTTGTTGTTGTTTTGTTCATGCCACAAAAAGCTACAGTAAATAAGCAAGCAGGTATACCCACGTACAATTTTTATGGTTTTTTTTACAAAGTAACAATTCTCAAACTGTCGAAAAAAATGAAATAAATGGAACAGAAATATCCGTTTCCCGCGAGGCTCGCCAAGCGTCTTTTGTATATAACTATTATAGATAAAACTTTAACAGTATTTTTAATTAATTTATGTATGAATTACGGAGCCGTTCAATTTTTGCGTGTGCGCGCGCGTGTGCGTGACACGCGCGTGTGAGTTTTCAGTCTGGTGCTTGCGTTCGCATCCACGCTCTATATATATTATATACATCAACTACGATGAAACGGCAAAAAAATCCGACGTAACAACGAATTTTGTTCACACGCATGTGTATTCGGCTTTTGATTGTGAATGATTGCGCGAATATGTGTACATATTTTTTTTTCAAATTGTGATAAATTGAGCAACCTATAAAACGATGTTTCTTGGAATATCAGTCGACTTTTTAATACTGTTTTGCTTTAGTATATATCAGTGCCTGCGACTATTTTTTTAACGAACTTCTTTTGTCTGTAAAAAGCAAATGTGATTGGAAATCAAGTTGTCATTATTAAATCTACGAAATGTTTGCTCGTGAAGATCAATGTGAATTTATTTTTGCTACACCCCCCGCGTAACGAAAAGCTTGTTAGTGTCACTTTGCAATTGTTCAATGTATTTTACTCTTATTAAGAAACAATTTTTAACAATTTTTGCGTTAACGAAAGCAATCTCGTTTTTTTTACAGTCTGATTTTTCCTTTGAATATACTGGTAGTCTAATATTTGCGTATGTACATAGAAAATTTTAATTCTTTCATATTTACACACTCATTGCCGGTCATTAAGCACGTATTGAAAGTAAATAAAGAAGGAAGGACCTCTTTTGCAAACCGGTTAGTATCTTTGACTTTATCACTTTTTTACAGTTTTTCTATTTTTTGTGGTGCGGAGCTTCCAGGCTCCTACTATCGACGACGCGCATGATATCTTTACCTTATTTGACACAATCCTATATAACAATTTCGTTCAATCGTTTGTTATTTCGTCTTGACTACATAAAGGTGTTTTCGTATTATTTATTCAAAGAGCCAACACACCTTTCTTTCTCTTTCACTCATTGTTCAGCACAAGATACTTTAAACAGGAGATGGTTACCTTGACGGCGATACATTATTGTAAGGAGACTGGTAGCCAAATGTGTTAGGAAGAAAGGAAAAAACAATGATATACGTACACTGTGTAATTTATCACATTTCTTCAATCGTGTAAATACGAGATATGTTGTTCAACTGCCATATAAATGAAGTTTAGTTGAAAATCGCGCGAACGTTTGTAAGGTATCAATTGTTTTACCGACTTTCTCACTGAACGACTACGGAATCGGACTACAAGCGAGTATTGCTATATCGTTTTCTACTTGACAAACATTCACACGATTGATCAACAAGTTCATTGTTGTTCTCGCGATTGTAATTCTATTGCGCACACCTAGACACAACTATTCTTTATTTTACGAGACAACAAAAGTACAAAAAAACAATCTATTTTTCTCATTCTTGTCCTTTGTAATGATTACTCGTCATAACGCAGTAAATCCATCATCACAATAATTATACAATACAATGTGAATGCTCGTGCGACGAGTGCGGATGTGGTGATAACGTCGTTGCCTCCGTGTATGAGTGGTGAAAAAAGAATAAATCCAACGAATTAACGTAAAACGTAGCGAATGATTGCGAATGAGAGCGTACGTCACTTACAATGTGTCTATAATTAAATATAAATATCGAACGAGAAACGATACAAAGATTCGTGAACAATCGTTTTAACTTATTGAGGAAAAAATGGGGCAGGAGACGAACGAAGATAATAATTGTTGACACCCAAGATTAAATATACGTGTATACAAATTAAACTATATGAATACAAAATACGAGCATTAACTTTGAAGATTCATTAAAATCTGATACAGATGTTAAAGTTTTTCTTGCGTCACGCGCTGCTACGCATCGAATGAAACGAAAATAAGAAAAAAACCTATTAGTAATGCAAGGTGAATAGAACTTTTGTTCGTCTGAAAAAAGTGGGCGTTGCAAGAGTTTCAATCTGAAGAAATACATTATATCATAAATGTCTAAAAAAAACCTTGTATTGCTGTAATTAAATTGACGATAAAAAAGGACAGAGAAAAGAATTATATGTATTATAATCCTACTATATGAGAAAAGTAAATATATTGTATAATGATATATATATACATATATATATATACACAATTAAATTGTGGTTTTCATTTTATCTTGCCAACGATGAAAACAAAGGTATTCTACAAAAATTATGGAACTAATTGTGGCATTCCATCAATTAAATATTTACAATGCTTTTGATGGTATTTTTTCAATGAGGAGTTGGAGTATGCCCATCTACATAAAAATTTCGAGTGATTGAAGGTAGCGTTAATTCCATACCCTCCATTTCTTTAGTCAAAATAATTTGGCAACCTGAAAAAACATTATATAGTTATACTATACATCCAAGTTTTTATTACAAATAAATTGCTACCTAATCTGGAGTTTTCCTTTAAACAAGGTGCCAAATCTAAAAGATCCTCTTCCTTTTCTTCAGCTTCTGGGAGCACATCTAAGTAATTGTAGTGAACATACACATGACATGTTGTGCAAGCTAAAGAAGCTTCACAAGCTCCTTCCATTTCAATGTTATGCCTATGAGCTAGGTAAAGCACATTGTCTCCAACTTTCCCTCTGATTGGTATTTTTTTGCCATCTTTATCAATGTACACTATGTTCACACTGTGAAAAGTAAAAAAATTCAAGATTATCTAACGATCTTATACTTTGAAATTTTGGTATGTTTACATTTCATCCTCGGACTTTGGATCTTGATACTCGTATTCGCCGTGTAAGAGGCCTGGAAAAGCAAAAAATTGATTTACCAGAGCCTCATGCCATAAACAAAGCACTCGAAAGCTGTCGAGACAGAGCACAAATTACGAACCGGCAGTCAAGTGTAACCTCGACTTCGTTACTGTTCTCGTAAGCCACCTTGAATCGGCACACTTCCTCGGGTAAGTCTTGAGCAAACGAAGTACGAATGTCATCTTACAAATTCGCGGCAATCGAACCTAACATAATGCGACATCTAAAGAACGCGACGACGATTATGTTTGTACTTACATACGTGTGTCTAAATTACATTGACGAGTGGCGGTACAGCGAGATGTATGCATGTACATTTCTCACGCACGCGCATTAATCGGCTCCAAAAAAAACAAGTGGCACAATATATATACATCTATATACAAAATAGGGTTGCGCGAGGTTAGATACCAAACTTCGCTCTTCGACTGCATAGTTGCAGTCCTGCATTAAACGCGTGATCCGCGAATTCGGTGGTGCACGATAATCTCAGTCGCTGGTCGAGAATTGAAAGTTGCGTCGTATCAAAGAGTGTAGCAAAGTATGATTTAAAGTAAGCGGTGGATTACAGTTGAATTCTCATAGAATTATACGGCAGGCACCATCGGTAAGTAAAGTGATGTTTCGCCGACAAAATATATACAGTTTAGTTTTTGCATGCAAGGGAGTGTACGAATCGATCCGGCGTTTTTCGTGCTTTCCAGCTCGCGACGCGCACTCGTTTGTTGTTGAAGGTCTATTGATGAACGAAACTTAGGGTCGTGCGACAGAGACTATGGAATTCCATTGATTTACCATTTAAATTAAGCACGCCTCGCGAAATCATTTTACATTGTGTTTTTTAACTTAACCTACTGTATAAGTACACGTACTTGTCTGCCTTTACAGACTTTCGAAAATGGTTGTGCTCAGTGATTTTTTGGCTCCACAAACGGGAATTCGCCACGAGGAAAAAGATACTACCCTCTATATCAATGAAAAGGAGGTGGGCAAAGGAATTCTTTATATTACAGAAAGGTTTGTTACATTTGCAACACCATTGAGAGATAGATTGCAACAAATAAAATGGTTGTCAATTTATTTGCAGTGTTCTTTCATGGGTTAATAGTGACACTCGACAAGGTTTTTCCTTAGAGTACCCACATATATCACTTCATGCCATTTCTAGAGATGAACAAGCTCATCCCAGACAGTGTTTGTATGTTATGGTTGACGCCAAAGTAGATTTTCCAAGTAGGTTCATACTCTATACATGTTTTATGATTTTGCAACAACAGTTTTACAACAGGTTTAATTACAACAGACATATAATGATTTAAATTTTCTCAGGTGGTTCTGCATTAGAACCTAATAATGATAAAACTAAGAGTAACAATGGTGATGAGAACAATGACGATGATGACGATGACGATGATGATTCAGATGCACCAATAACGGAAATGCGATTTGCACCAGATAACACAAATAATTTGGATGCCATGTTTCAAGCTATGAAAACTTGTCAAGCTCTTCATCCAGATCCACAAGACAGTTTTTCTGATGGTAAGAGTTGTTTTCAAGTAATTGTAACTTTTTAAAAATATAATCAATGTAATGCTTTAAATTTAATATAGCTGAAGAAGATATCTATGAGGATGCTGAGGCAGATGAATTTGAATACTTTGAAGCAGGTGCTGGAGATGCTCCTTATATTACAGGTATGTGAATACATTTTTTAAGTTACTTTTTGTTTATAGAAAAACTTGCTGAAGTCAATAAATTAACTAATACTTTGGTTTTTAGAACAACATGAAACAAGTCACAATGGCACTCAAGCAGTAGCAGAAGAGGCTATGGACATAGAGGCAGGGCAATTTGAAGATGCAGAGGAAGATCCTTAAGATAATTAAAAGCTGTATAACAGCTTGTACTCTCCTACCTTTAGTTACAATAATCTATCTGTGTTACTCATATCACGCATTTTAACGTAGGTGAAACACTTATCATAATCATATGCACAGAAAGGATATAGCAAATATTTCAAATCACTAAACTTTATTATTTATATTCATTTTTGTACATGTTTTCATAGATAAAAAATAATCAACTCAATGTCAAAACAGCTTGTCTTTGTCTCACTCGTTAAAAAATATTACTTTATTTTACAGAAACAAATAAAAACTTATCAGTTTTCATCACAGCGATTCATATATAAAATCGCATTCACAAAACATTAAAAAAAAATAAGTCAGAAATTTTTATTTCTTTGCAAATAAAAATCACGATGATAAATAATTCATTGCGGTAGTACTTTCTAAGAATTGTCTACGTTGCCGCTGTGGCAATATCACAAAGTTAATAGTGACTGTCAAAGTGCTTTTTTATCTAATTTTATAAATGATAAAATGATGTATTTGCAAAATAATGAATAATGACCTTAATAGACATGATTGAAGAAAATATAATTATTACCATCACTTAATTTTATATATATATATATATATATATATAGACACACACACACATATAATCAATTAACATCCCGTCGACGACTCAATGTATAAATTACAAATTATAATCAAAACAATGGCAAGTGAGCTTTTTACTGTTTTATAATTTGAGAATGCATGCACTTTACTTAAGCTACGTCTCTTCTTTGAAAATTTGATTTTTCTTATGAAGGAAAAGCGTTCTGTGATTTGTCCAATTGTTGAAGACTCCTAATTTTGGAATTATCAATTTATTAAAATAAAAGCAAACCAAAAAAATAACAAACGGAAGTCTATTATAAAATTAAGTGTAAACTCTCCTTGTGTTTAGCTTTACACAATTAGATAATTATAAGGAGGCATTACACTGTCTTTATAAATCCCTTCTCTACCTAATTTTCTTAGGGCCAAAAATGAGATCTGCATCCGGTGCCCCCTTTGGATGATTATACTTCTGTCGCCTTTCTCTATTTAAATTTACTGTCACTGGTCTTGTTCCTTGGTTTATTGCTTCCTGATAATCCTCTTCCTCTTGTCTCTCCGTTATATTAAGTGTGAGTCGCTTTACTCTTTCCTTTTCTTCCTTCTGCTCTTGTTCTCTATTTCTAAGATTCTTCGCGAGTTCAGAGGCGACTGGCACTGCTAATTGTTTGTACTGTTGTTTGTTACCTTTCCTCACCATGAGAACAAAGTCTACAGTGGAGTTGTCTGGTGGGCCTTCTTGAAGTTGCTCGTACGTTTTCTTTGTACTTTTAACATGCAACGGCACTGAAATATCAACGTGCTGAGGCTTTACTGCATCTCTCATTCTGTCTTGTATGTTGTCCGAGACCATTTTATCCAGAGCGGATAGGAAATCATCATCCTCCGGGCAATGCACTCTTTTAGGAGCCGAAGGTAGTGCTGCAACTAATTCGGAAGTATCCATTATGACACCATCGTGGCAGCCTTCTGATAGACTTTGATCTCCCTGAGTGTTTTCTTGGGTGCCTTGATGCTCATCCCTCTCGTTTCCTTCGTTTGTCCATTCCTCGTCTGATTGAGCTTCCGACTCTTCTGCTTCTTCAAAGTGCAGCTCTCCGCTTTGCTTTGCCTCGTTATTTTCGGAACTTGTTTCCTCTTCCTCCGGAATGGTGTTCATATCGCCGCCTGTATCATCTACATCTTGTTGCTCGCTGACGTCCAAATCCGGATAGAGCGTTTTGCGAAGCTCTTCAACGGCATCTTGTGCCTCTTTGAAGCCCTCAAACAGGTGCATTTTTGGCCTGAGCATGGCTAGCGTATCACGGAACATGTATTCGACGCCTACTGGAAATGGATTTTCAACTGTCCAGATTGTCTCCGTCTTCTTGAACCAGTAGTAGTGTTGAAAAAATACAAGAAAGTAATCTAACTTCTTCTTACTAGATCCTCCATTGAAATACTGCCCACAAGTTTCTAAAAGTGTACAGACTAGTCTTATACGAAATAAATGTTCAGGTGGATCAAGTGGACTTGGAACAGAATGATCCATTGTGATACCAAAGGTAATTAAGAGGTACAAAGTTCTGAAAATATCACCACTTTCAACCATACGATAATTGTAAAGTTCACCAAGATATTTTACCATAGCTATTCGACGTTGATTGAATTTTGGTAGATTTATTTCCATACAAAGTCTGATATCTTCCAGCACTCCATCAACTACTAGAGGTCCAACAGCCTCATAGTGAGCTACCAGACCAGCTAAAAGACTACCAACACATCTAATATTCAAATATTTCACATTGTAAGCTGCAGTGAGACATTTTATGGAGTATGAAGAGATAACTTCATCTTCCCAATCAAGTTTCCTCATCCATTTGAGAACTTTGTCAGTATTTGTCTTTGAAAGATCTTGATACAGCAGTTTTCTAACAAATTCATGAATTGGAGGTCTGTCTTTCTTTGTGACATTATTAATGGATTCTGGTGGGTTAACAAAGTAGTAAGCATTTTCAATTATTGTTACGTACCGCGAATCCAAAGCTGTTACGGCTTTTTTTCGCATCATCTGTTCAAGATAAACTTTAGTGCGTTGATGCGAGTCTGAAGAGCAGAATAAAAATCGACCGCAAGTTTCAAGTAAATTACATGCCATTTCAATGTGATGATGAGTAAAATCATGTAACAAGACTTTTAAGCAATAGAGAGCTTCGATTTTTGAGTAGAGTTTGAATTTCACAAGCTCTCCAATATACCTCACTACTTTAATTTTCGACTCAATGTTGATTTGGTCTTTTTTGTGCACGTGATATTTGAAATCATGTTTCAACATTTGACACAGTTCATTGCCTACTTCTGGCATAACTGGATAAAGAATAGCCGCTAATCGGGAATAAAAGGGCAGTAAATCCAGACGAATCCTAGAAACTCCAAAAAGTGCTTTAATCAACTTCTTTTTGTTGTGCTTTGTATTCAGATTCATAAGGAAATCAACAGCAGCATTGTCGATCATTTCGCGATTGACGCAGTTTGGCAAGTGTGTAAGAAAAGCGTCGAGTAAAATCTTGTTACTGATATTTGTTACTTGTGGCTCATCAACTTCTGGCTCTGGAGGCTCTTCTACTTTTTCAATATCTTCTAATTCGTCAAGGGACAAATCTTCATCCAAAGTTTCCTCAGTTATGACATCATCTTGTTGTTTCTCTTGTTTTAAATTTTCTTTGGGATAAGAACCAGGTAGGAAAACAGTTAAGTCAGTCAAAACTTCATAGAATCTCCTTGTTTCCTCATCACCCCACATATCCTCAAGCATACTATTTTCTTCGCTTTCACTTATCATTTTTAATGACTCATCAGCTTCTGCCTTAACTTCATTATCAATTGGTAATTCTGGTATAGATTCGTCTAAAGTATCTGAAAAATGTTGTACACTTGTTAGTAGGCGTTCATAGGAAAGTTGAAGAGTTTCCAATTTTTCTTTTCTCTCTGCACTTAACTCTCCCCTTGTTTGTAAAATTTTTCTATTTTGTTTCTCAAAAGCTTGCAGCTCTTTGTGTTCTTTCAGCAAATGTTTGCAGAGCGAGTTGTAATATTCTCTTAGCAATGACTTGACATTTTGTTGCTTATCTGGAGTAAGTAGCTTACTTTTCGGTAAGATGACATTAAATTTTTCCGCCAGCTCTCTGACTCTTTTAGGTACAAGACCAGCATAATCTTCGCCACAATGTCGACAAAAACTTAATATTATGCTAGCATTATTATGCTCCTCTTTGTCCATATTAATTAAAACAGTCAACACAGATCCTAGCAGAGGGAGTCCTTGTTTATGTGTGAAAATACCAGCATTTACGAGCTCAGCATAAAAGCGTAAATCTACTCTTAGTTTACTAGGATTGGTAATTTTATCGCCGACCTTAAGAGTGAGAATCTTTTGCCAATTCTCAAAGAAATGTGTAGAAAACTCAGCATAAGTTTGATGCAAAAAACTGCAAGCTTTGATCACTGGAGTCATATCAGTCATTTTGAGTTTTGCATCAACCAATGCAGCAGCCACTTCACTCACATACTTTGTAAGATTAAGGCAGGCCATGTCCTTCATCAAAGCATCCAACTGATTGCCACTGAATGTTTTCAACTTTTTAACAAAAGTAGTGTTCTTTTTGAGACTCGAGTCGAGTTTACTGAAGTAAGAATCTGGTGGTCTAATCACATTGACATTCGCAGCACGAATTTCCTCTTTGGCTGCCAGTCGCTGCTCCATCTCTTTGAAGTAGTCATCCAGGAACTTCCGATCCTCCTCGGAGGTAGTATCCGAGTCTAGGTTTTCCGCTGGAGCCATTTTTTCTATCGTTTCTGACATTATTATTTTACCAAAACGAAACAATTTTCAGGTTATGTTTCGATTGTGCTTCTGAAAAACACGATTACCTGTCAGAACGGGTTTCAATGAAATTATATTTTTGAAGAAAGCTTTGATTACGAAATCTTAATAGCTTACCATTACAGTATTAATCAGCTGCTTTTCTAATATTGTCTAATAATTGTATCATTGCAGACTTCTGCTTACATTAGTTCTAGCTTCTTGCCTGTTGCCCTAGTTGTTTCGTTTAATCGCCGATTATGATTCATGACCACCAAGCAAGAGGGGATAATCTGTAGAATTCAGGAAAACGAAAATTGTTATAAATACACTACAAGACTGACTTTACTACTACACTACTACTAGAGGCTTCTAAATATATTTTTATCAAAAAAAAAAATTAATATTCATATATTCTTTTATTGATAGAAATTTTTACAAATAACAAAGTTGACTTTTCAATTAAAATTTAGCTATTTTTGACATCATACACTACTTCTTAAATATATACCTGCAACGCGTTCTTTTTAAAAATATCACACTAATTCTAATTTATAAACAAATTAAGAATATAAGATATATATCCGCATAAGTATAGCAGCACTAGCAGCAGTCGAGAACCCCGCACTTATCGACGAGAGAGTGGCGCTGAACTCGTTTATACGGCAGATAGCGCAAAGTGGTGACCATATGTGTGCTGCTAGTATAGTCAAGTCAGTGAGTGTCGAACTCTGCTCGGGAATACATTACTGTATCGCCGAGTGTACACACAAACACACACTTATATATTATATATACAAACATATTGTATAAGTTGGGGATGTCGAATTGAATACGATTTGACGACTACAACGCAATTATGGCAGATTTTGACGCGATTTACGAAGAGGAAGAAGAACTAGCCGAGGCGAATCCCGAAGAACAACAAGAACCCTACGTCGCGATGGTGCCTGAACCCATCCTCATCCGCGGCGCTGGCAATATGACTGTGTAAGGGTCAACGATTTTTTTTCTCTTCATTGGTACTTCTTTCTCCTCTCGCTGCCTTACTACTCCGTATTTTTAGATTCTCGTGACTCTTCTTTGTTCGTCGTCATCATCGCAGACAAAGACAATGTACACACGCGTACGCATAATGTAGTCGAATTAATTCGTCTCACGGCACATGAGAGAAAGAAAGAGATCTACTTGCGACCAGAGCTCTTAAATCGCCATCAATGAACTCGCGTGTATCTTCTCTACGTGTATAATTCTATAATTATCTATCGGCGTGGGAGGGCATTATTTTTTTAAATTTCGTTGCTATCTCACCCTTCTAGAAAATTCTTTGACGGGTGGTCACATGATTTCATGTTCTAATGTTGGGGAAATTTTCTGATATTTTTTCAAATTTTTAGACTAAACGAATCTTATTAGTCACAAGATTATGTGTGTTGCATGTGTGTATGTGCTCTGTGTGTGTGTGTGTGTGTGTGTGTACGCACACGCGCGCGCGCGTGTGTCTAACACATTCGTTTAATTTTAGTTTTAATACTTACACTTAGATTAACGTTTGTTTACTAATTTCAATCACGTTATACAAGACCAATTCTTATTTTGCAAAAACATTGATAACTAGTTTTGTGTTACTAAGATTTTAGTTACTTACTGTAAAATCATTGTTTTTAATCTAAATTGTATATTTGCAATAGATTTTTTTTCACGTTAAAACTTATGATTCTTTTGTTATCAAATGTCTTCATACTATTTAATAATAATTAACTTAGGTTATTATTGAATATGAGTATAATGTACTCTTGTCAATATTTAGTGATTATATATATATATTGCCACTATTTTGCAAAGTTCTTTTAAATGAACATTTTAAAATAGTTAGACTAATGATACTGCTTATACTTGATCAATTTTCACTTTATCTATCTAGATTTGGCCTGAGCAATAGATTTGAATCAGAATTTCCAAGTGGTTTGGTATCCAGAGTTGCACCAGAAGAGTTCAAAGCAACAGTGATGCGTATAAACAGTGTTTTGAAAAAGACACTACCTGTAAATGTCAAATGGTTGTTTTGTGGCTGTGTATGTTGCTGTTGTACGTTAGGATGCTCTCTGTGGCCAGTCATTTGCCTCAGTAAAAGAGTATGTCTTTTTTCTTATCAACCATCTAATGATATATTTTTTGGCAACAGTGTTGACCTGAATTTCATTTTTTAGACTCAACATTCACTGAATAAACTGCTGGAATGGGAGAACAGTAGACTATATCACAAGCTGGGATTACACTGGAGGCTGGCGAAACAAAGGTGTGACAGCTCTTCAATGATGGAATATGTAAGTTATCTACTGTAATAATCTAAGAAATCTATGGAATAATTATATCATTTGTAAGCTATTGTCATAATCCACAGGTACTTTTAATTGAATTTGTTCCCAAGCAACAGATATATAAGCCAGACTAAAAAGAGGCTATAAATTTTTTTTAAGAATTTTTCAGCAAATGCTTATATAAGATATTATGATGTTTTGTGCATTGACGATTGCACATACAAAAGAGACTATGTCAATGTTTGTGTTTATTACTCTTAGTGTGCATTTGGCGATATAAATAGTTGTATAGAGCGTATATTTTTGTAAATATTATATATAACCAAGTATAGTACAATAATTTTATGTAGAAATATAGTTATAATATATGTTTTCATCTAATTAACAATATAAAATTTATAGCAATTAGTATACCAATTTTTTTTTATCATCACAGAGTTGTAATTAATTTAGATGCAACAAAAAATTGTTCACTTTTTACTTAATAATCTAATATAATTATTAGTTTATTTCAAATTCTATTAAAGGAATTTATCATCATAATTGGTATACTTATTTATCGTAGTTACTTTTAATTCACTTTAGAGGTACTTGTGATGATGCAAGTAGAAATTACATATAATAGTGCAAATAGAAATCACACAATTAAAATCAAAAGCTTTTAACTAATGATTATTCGGTTCCATCATATAGAAATTATACATTTTCAATTAAAAAACAAGCATAAGAAATATTGTACATATGTAAACAGAACTAAAATTATAGTCTTTGGTTGGTCATATATACTTACCACGATGATATTAAAATAACGATATATCATTGTGTACTAATTTAACAATGTATCAATTATTGTTTATGCATATTTTATTTTCAGTACCATATTTAACGATAGAACAATAATACATGCCCGAACATCGAAGTTAAATTCAATTTTTTGTAAAATTCAACTACATATCCTTCGTTAATTTTACCGTCGAAACAAGATGTCACAGTGAAAGAAATAAGTTACTATTTTTACGTGATATCTACAAGGCTACAATAATTTTTTTGTTATTACAACTCGGAGCTTTATTTCACATTTAATGTGATTGCTCAGTGTCTAATTCCGGAAACTAATTCTATTTTTTCTTGTGATCAAATATGGACACCAATTTAGAAAATAGAGATTACTGTTATCACAAAATTATTGTATCTGGTCCGCAGTTATGGAATTCCATTCGTCAAAAAAGAGTTTGAAATAAAAAAATCCATTTTCTAACAAAAGGGACTGTGATGAGAGTAGAAGACTAGTGATTCTCGATCATTTTATCCAAAAAAAATGGAGTTAAATTTCAATTAATTATAAATATTTAAAATCCACAAACAAGTTACTCTTATCAAGATGCTTATTTGATTAAAATTCTCTGAAAACAAAATATTTAACTGATTATTTTTTTTTGAAATAATAAGAAAATTTACAAAAACGAGATTGTACTATAACCTGAGATTAAACAATCACTTGGAATGTAAATCGAAGATCAATTCTTTAAAATCATTAAATAGAAAAAATGTTTAGCACAAATATAAGAATGCTTGAAAGCTTGCAAATTAAAACAGCAATTTAGTAGATGAGAATTCCGAAACACGGAACGTAGTTTCGATTATAAAATACCAAACATCAAATAAAGAGATATTTATTAACGTTTTTTAGTGCAAATTTTTCAAAGCACTGTCACGAGGACTATTATTAAACATTCTCAAATATGTAATTCAATCGATTTCAAAATAATGTAAACACACTTGTTATATAATCAATATTCAATGCAAATTTTCATTAACGGAGATTTACCAAAATAGACAATGGATAAAGAAGAAAAATCACGTTAGCACAACACAACTGTTAGAGAAAAACGAAAAAAAAAATCAACAATAAAATTACAAAGTTTTGTATAGATTTAGACGAGAGAAGCGATTATATCGAAGGAATCATTTTGCGTAAAAACATCACACGTAAAGATAATCCCTGTTTTTTACTCGTTCAACAGCATTTTTGCCGTCGTAAGTAGTTTTCGCCATGTGCCTTTCGCTGACTGGATTAGTGTACTTTTAGCATTTCTAAGTCATCGTGCAAAGCGTTTGCTGTGTTAAGACAGTGATGTAACAATATTAAAAAAACAAAATTATCATACTTTTTTTTTTAATCGAGGATAACGTTCTACAATCTACTGTTATAATGTAATTATTACGTTATTTATGTAATTTTTTGTTATTATAAGGCTTATGTCGATTTTTGCATTGTTGAAAATTTGATCAACGGTAATTTGATGGATTAAAAAAATGAAGAGTATTTCGCGTGATACAGATGAATTTATCGCAATCTCAAAAAATTACTCATTGACTATTATTACATCGTAAATTTGATGGTAAAAATAATATTTAACGGCGTAAGTGTTTTTTGACAATGCGTAGGTATGAAGAGAAATCGGTAAGGCTGCTGGTAACACGAGCTGCTTTTGTTGTACACAAAGCAAATAATCCTTAGGTATATAGATAAAATTGTAACACATCGAACTAGACTGTAATAAGGCGGAAGAATTATATATATCGAACTGTAAACAGTGCACATGTATGTGTTCTGGACAAATATACAAATAATGTAAAACTAACGTGCAAGGAAAGATTTATTAAATAATAATACGTTATAAACCAAAATAGTTATAGTTCATTTCATAAGACCTAAGAAAACCAAAAGCTAATTAAACAAATTCACTTAATGAACACATAATTCGGAGTATTTCGATATAAAGCTTTCGCCGATTTCGCAGTAGATTTTCCGGTGCCTTTACGCAATCAAATTCTCCATACTGTCGAATGCGTCAATGTTTCAAGATAATATCTAGTTACACCGGACAAGTTCTTTGTTTTCTTTTTATTTAACGAAATAGTTACCTATATCAAGATAGAAAAACAAAAAATATTCTATACATAAAAATAATAAATATAGATCGCTTTGTTATTGGCCGATCACGATCTATAAATTATCAGGAGTCGAAGTCGAGAGCCGTAGGCGAGTAGGCACGAAGTGGCCACGATGACTGCTGGCCGGCATATAGTAAAATGGAGAAAAGTCAGATTTGTCGACAAATTATTCTATTGAATATATCTATTTTTTCATGCTTCTACGTATCGATTTCCTAATGTGGTATATAGTTTACAAAGTCTAATTGGTTATATGGATTGGGTTGGGTCACATAAAAATTTCTTATATCAAAAATTTGTTACGAAAAATGCTTGTTATTCAATAGGATCAACTGAAAAATTTTTAAATTAAAAAATATAAAATTATTAAAAAGATGGGTTCGTGTTATAGGTTTTCCACATGGCTCGCAAAAATCTAAGAGATTGTATAAAGTTGGTTTCGGGTTGTTAGGTTATTGGGTTATAACAATAATAAACCAATAAACCAACTTTTTTTAAATTTTAATTTTTGAATTTTTGACATATTCTGTTGATCGTATTGAACAACTAGCATTTGTTGTAGCATCAATTTCTTGATATAAGAAATTTTCATAAAACTTAACTTTGCACAATCTCTCAGATTTTTGCGAGCGACATAGAAAACCTATAATCTAACTTTAATTTTATTTTTTTGAATTTAATAATTTTTCAGTTGATCCTATTGAACAGCAAGCATAAATGATCAGATACCGAGAGTATTCTGATGAAAATTTAAGTAGCTTTTATTCACTTGGTTGTCACTCATATTTCATTTTTTAGTACGAATAATAGCGAGAACATTCTAAGTAAACTTCCTCTAAAAATTAACCACAACGATTTTTAGCTTGCGAGCTAAGCCCATTTATATGTAACGTCGGGCCGTTTATTAGAAATAAATTTTTTTTTCCTCATGTACTTTTGTGTAGCTTAAATTTTAACTCGGTAAACTAGCGAAGGAGAGCCTTCAGCTGAAGCAGCTGGAGGACACGTGAAAATAGTCGTCCCTTTAAGTTTTTAAATTACAAATTAGAAAAATGAGGTAAATAGTCGAAAACAGTTACTTGAACGAATTTTAGCAAATCAGTTGTACAGTCCACAATTAAATAATACCCTTTTTTCGTTCGAATTTATTTAAACAACGAAGTGAGTTAATTAATTAAGTTACTAATTGTAAACATGTAGGATCAACAGATTTTCGCGTAAAATATGTTAAATAATAAGGAACTTACGTTATTTTTAAGAATTAATTGTAATAATTTTATATAATAAATAACTTAATAATTATAAGAGAAACTGTACTAAAAATGGTACTTGGAGAGTCATCTAGCGAGATAAGGCCCAAACTCTTGAACGCGCGCCCCCAATTCTCACCACGCCCCCGAACCAATTAGGGCCCGAAATCCGAAAGAGAAAAGGAGGGAAAATCTCGGTTGGCCAATTAGAATTCACTGGCATTTCCACTCTTCCCAAATTTCGAGGGACTGAAAGAGGGATTTTCCTCCCAACCACCCCCAGGGTTTAAAAGGGCATGCGCAAGCGAAAATCTCTCTCTCACGCTCTCACGCTCCACACAAGCTTTTAAGTGCATCTCATTGACCAAGTGCCAGGTCCAGATTGACTTCTCCAGTACCAGTTAACTAAATAAAAGAAAAGTAAGTTGAAACAAAATTTTATTCACTATCTCTCCTTTTCCTCTTCTTGTTAGAGTAGCTGATCGAAACTCGTGAAAAATAGGTCTTCGAAAAAGTATTTCAGCAGGAATTGGGATACTTTTTCAATAAGACAGTCGCGCCGTTAAACTAAAATAAAATACTTTTTATGTGATAATTCCGGCAAGGTTTGGGATTTTCACATCCAAGTCCCGACTCCATTGGACCCTGGTGTTTGATGGAAGGCTTGTAGTCCAGTTTAATTTTTTCACTCTTTTTACGCGAAACGCGAAGTAGAAAAGCTCTAATTCTCCAATCGCTCGTCCCGGTTTAAGCGTACGCACGCAAACCAAATAGAGCGCCTGAGATTACGTCCACCTCAGACGTACCTGAGATAGTGACCCGGATGTCACATATAATTTAATTGATAATTCTTAAAAAGCAAAATACAGACTAATATTCTACTCAATAATATACTACAACTGATCTTGATGTCTTGAAATTTTCTTGAGAACTTTCAGTGTTAGTTGGACTAAGATTTGGAAGAATCAGGATATCAATAATGTAAAACTGTATCTATCGGAAGTGGGTATATATTTAATCGAAATCTCAACCATTTGTAAATATAAGCTATTTTAATAATATATATATATATATATCAAATCAAAATATCACAATTTATATCGACATCAAAAAAAATAAAATTAATTCGTAGCTACTTAGAATGTACAAATTCGCTTCTGCAATATAATAAGTGTAAACAGCTTTCTTTTGCAGTTATTCCATTTAATATCAGTTAATGATATCGGAGGAAGTATTATTCAATTCTAATCAATTTTGGTCCCGCTTATGTGAACAATATAAAAAAAGAAAAGCAATATACCAGATTCTTAGACGCTAATACTGCAAAACAAAATACGCGAGTTGTCAATGAGTTAGTGCAGAGATTGTAATTGCCCAAACAAGCAAAATAATTTTAAAATACACGTATACAAACACACATGGCTGTCAATTACAATTTCTTTTTTTATCAATTCGTGCACGTCAAACGTGAATCTCGCGACATGGAGACGTGCAAGACAAGCAAAAGCATCTTACGGAGTATATATCATTGATGTTTAACTTTTTCTTCTCACCCTCTCTTACACAAACAATAACACGGCTTACAAAGATTTTTAAATTACGAGACGAAAATATTTACAAAACATATTTCCACGAGACCACTTTGAAACAACGGAAAACGACCATTTTTTCTAGATAAATAACAATTAGAATAACAAGAACTATACCGATCATCGATCATTAAAAGAATCATTCAAATTCCCAAAATTAATTTGATTATCTATCAATCGAAGCTCATGAAAATTTAATTTGGAAAATTAAGCAAGGTTTTGATACGTATTTACAATTAAAAACAAGCTATTATTTTCTTCTTTAGTACTTTCTTGCCAGTTGAAAATATTTTTGTTGTCTGAACGCACGATAATTTTTAATATTTTGCGAGGTATTCCTCGTATCGATATTCTAAATAATGTCACGTCTCGACAATAATTATCTACGTTGAAAAAAAAGCGATGCAGTCTTTGTTGACTTTTGCAGTCACGTCCACACCGTCCAACGCGATATGACTTCTTTGCTTATAAGCTCCACGCACGATTTGGGAGATCACTTGGAACTTTGTCTACAAAGTTTGCCGGGAACTGCCCTTGTTTGCCATTCCATTCTCCATACAACCATTCATCTGATATCCTCGCTAACACTTTTATTCTCGCTCCTTCCTGTAACAATTAACCATAACCGTTTAATCTTAAATGATCATGACGAGTAATCGTCTTTCTACTTACTTCAAACAACAAATCATCACTAGTCTCTCCTTTAAAAGCATACAGCGCGTTGACAACATTGACTTCGAGTCCCGGTAACGGTATCTTCACGTCAATAAAATTAACAGGAAACATTCCCTCACGATTACCAACTCGTCCTTCCATCCAATTGTCGTTAATCAGTTTTGTCAAATAAACAACGTCACCCTCCCTCATCTCAAGATCACCAGGTTGCGAGGCTGGAAAATCGTAGAGCGCAATTCCATACGGTCTTTCGGAATTCTCCTTAAAACAAACGTAACGATCATTGCTTGAGTTATTCATCGTAATCTGAGTAGATTCCAAAATTGTTATAATGTCTTACCACTAGGCCATCTTCAAGACCAGCAATATATTCTGGTGGGGGTGGAGGCGGTGGAAGTTTAGGCATCGGTGGTGAAACATCGCTATCGCCCCAACTAGTTTTCATAGGATCATTGTCCCATGCGACGACGCTATTACTTTTATCATTATCCCACTTGATCTTAAATTTATCATCATCCCAGAAACATTTGCCATCGGCATTGCGCAACGGATCCTGCCGTGGCGCACCTGAGTAATTGACTTTTGACGCGCCATACACCGGACTAGTTTTGCTAGAATTGCTTGAACTGCTGTTCGCACTTCCTTTTTTTCTCACCGGCATAATGATCGTCGGCATGACGAATGGTTTCGCCGGCGCCGCTGGTGGAGGCACTTTTGGCTGCTGGCAGTCGAAGGGACTATTGCTACTATTACTGCTGGTGCTGTTAAAAGCGAAGAAATTCGATTCGCCAACTTCTTTGATCTCTTGATGACTTGGTATCCACTGCAGGGAGAAACAACGAACACGGTTAATTAAAAGAAGAGATTGACATTGGCAATCGCAAGATTCTCTATTCCAATATATATAGCTTTGATATTGGTTTAACAATGATACTATAACGTTAACGGCATATATCTTTATTAAAGTGTTAACAAAGAGACAACCGCGACTCTGTCAATTAGAATCTCAAGACACGCGTGCGTTACGCGATCTTCTGTTTTTTATTTCCTGTAAGAGCTTTAATATACCTGTTGTGTGTTCTTGGTGTTATCGATGGAGCCAAACGGATCATGGCTACAGCTGACTTTCCAAGGATCCTGACTATTATTAATCCTTTTTGTGGACAAACTACCGAAAAAGTCGAAGTCGTCCTCGAAGGCACTGGTACTGCCACTGCTACTTATGAAAGCTGAGGGATTGGAATTCCCATCGCTGCCGAAACTATCTACGCTCAAGCCATCACTGCCGGTGAAACTTGGCGAACCTGGTGGACTCAAATCTATCAAGCACGTGTCTCTACTGCTCGTGGGTGCACTGGAGTAAGACGACGCCGTCGTCGATTTGTACTGATTGTGTTGTTGTTGCTGCTGTTGATAATAATGCTGTGATTTAACGGTGCGTCGTCCAAACAGATTCGTCAGCAATTCCGTTGGCCTTGCCTACAATATATTGTGAACAGACGGAGTGAGTACGAACTGTGATGCAAAATGCAAATATCATAGCGTACTTACGGGTTTCTTTGGTTTCTCCAGGTTGCTTCTGGCTGGTGGAAATTTAGGCGGTGGCGGCCGAGGTGGTGGTTTTTTCTTTTGTTGAGGTGCCTGGATCCTCGTTGATGCACCGAAGATATCGGCTAACTCGTTACTACTTGGAACAAGACATCACTGGTGACTTGATCCGTTAGAATATTTGCGACACGATGTTTTTCGACAAGTTATTGATTACTTCTAAGTCTATTCCGAAATTAAATGATAGAATTCTTGAGGGAAAAAAAAATCTATTTCGCTAAGCATCAACATGAAACGCCACGAGAACAAAAAAGCGAAATCAAAAATATCACACCGATAGAAACAAAACTAAAAATGCACGGGCAATATCAGATAGCTATAATATAACGATTAGATTATTCGCGCGCGGCCGAATTGTGCAATTTTTTTTCGAGCTCTATCGCACACCAAAGAGAGACAACACCAGATGTATTTTTAAATAATTTATACGCCTCCATTTCTTTATCCGCACAAATTGCAGACGCTATACTTATTATGGAGGCGTGTGTTTCAATTATCAAGTCATTATTCGAATAATAACAAAACGATCTGGATTATTTGCATGACGTTCATGCATATGTATGTACATACAATCGCGAAAGAGTACGAAAGATATCTATCATTCCGAAAAGATAGATAGTGAGATCAGCGCAGCTGCCTGTCAAACATGATTAAAGAAAAAAAAATCAACACTCACCTGCTGCCCCAATCGTTGTTACTACTGCTAGCCTGTTGACTGCTCGGCGGTGGTTTCGGAGCTACTCTCGTCGGTTGCATCCGCATCTCTAAAAGTAAAGACATATAGCACAAACTGTAATTTCCTTCTCTCTTTTCTCGAGGAGTGTGCGGTTATTTATACTGAAAAGAAAACGGAGCCTGCACTTGCAGAACTACTCTCGGACAAAGGCCAACAATTTCCTCGACTATTTATCAACTGCGTAATAATATCCACGCCCGTCAGTCACCAACATTCACACACAGATAAATTCAGAGATTTTTTCCACTATATCCTACACAATACACGCGTACGCGTGCTCAATGAAGACGAGTATTTAATTAGAAAATAGAGCCGAGTGAGCGAACTGCCTCTCACCTGTTCTCACGTTGGCCGCCATCTTTCGTCTGATAGTCCGTGCCAGATGGTGTCGTCGCCGCGCAGAGTTCAGTACACGAGGAGAAGGAGTGGGGATAAAATCGTTTATTGTGGTTTCTATTTGTACGTATGGTATGGGGCGGGAAAGAGAAAGAGTGAGGGAGGGAGGAGAAGAGAGAGAGAGAGAGAGAGAGAGAGCCAACTACCGTCTCCGTTTTATTTGTACGGTACGTTACTTCATCGGACAGTTAAAAAATGAAAAAGGCATATCCCGGATCAGGGAATGACAAATGTGATGTTAATGTTAACGTTAATTGTTGTGATTATTGTAAACTATACTTAGTTTTTTTTTCTTATTTGGATTTTTAGACTTTTCAACAATTTCCTAGGCGATATCGCCTTCTTTTTTATTTTTTTTCACGTTGATGTGTTATCTTTCTTTCAGATTGTATACGCAGGATGTCCGTTTCATATTTTATGAATGAGTTTATATTAATAAAAAATGGATACATGCCTGAAGAATCGAATCAACTCCTTTGTATACTTGTTTTTAAAAATGACATACTCGCTAGTTTGTTTTTATTTTTTAGCGCTGATAATGCTGGCAGTTCAATGAAAAATAAAATATTAATTTTTTTAACTGTCGAAAAGTAGATTTTTTGTATATAAATGTTTCTCTTTCCAACATTTATAATAAAAAATTTATTATTCTTAGATTTCCATCAGTTAAACAAGTAGTCAACGTAAAGTTTTCTTTTATAATTAAATATTAATACAACTAGCTGAAGTGATCTTAATTTTTGAATTTCGTGACCACAGTTCATCCAACACGTTTACAGCAGTGAGTACTGCGTAAGAAAGAACTAAAGAAAGAAGCCAAGAAGCACGTTAGCAACATTAGTAAAGCAAAACTAAGTTGGCAGTATGCAGCGATTATCGATTGTACTTATTTTACCGAAGGACGCGCGCTGAGTCGCCGACATAACCTCTATTATCCATTGTTGCTCCGAAATTTATGCAACAAATTTTTGATAATACTATTTGTATTTAATCTACTCGAGCCCTAAACAGTACAAAATGTAAGTATTTCTCTAATCCATCAGTCGCTTTGTAATTTTAATTAGAATAATTAACAAAGTATATGTTCTGAAATTCATCTGTTTACTTTCACTTACGTGATTCAACGGACACGTTTGTTGAATGAAAAATTTAATAATTTTTCTATTTTGAAATCAAAAATTGTAGTCGATTAAGAATGTTAATTCACCTTCACACTACCAGTTTGAATGTTGGAACGGAATTTCCGTTATAAAAAAATGAAAATGAATAAATTATTTCTTAGAGTATGTATTTACTATATTTTTTTATAGGACTTCCTTAACAAAGCCAAAGTCAGAAATGACACCTGAGGAGTTGGCTAAGAGGGAAGAGGAAGAGTTTAACACAGGACCATTGTCTGTTCTTACACAGTCTGTTAAGAATAATACACAAGTTCTGATAAACTGCAGGAACAACAAGAAGTTATTAGGTCGTGTCAAGGCTTTTGACAGGCATTGCAACATGGTTCTTGAAAATGTTAAAGAAATGTGGACAGAATTACCACGAACTGGCAAAGGAAAAAAGAAAGTAAGAAACTAGTTTAGTTCTTAGGAATTCTATTAACTGATAAATTTGTAAATTATACAATATCGTTATTTTCTTATTTTAGGCAAAACCAGTTAATAAAGATAGATTTATATCCAAAATGTTTTTGAGAGGTGACTCTGTTATTCTGGTTGTAAGAAATCCATTGGCTACAGCTACAGGAAAATAATATGATTTAAAAAATTCTAATTTAAATAGGCATAAGTGAAATTTTTATTAAATAAACCTTTATAATTAATTCAAAAATGTTTTATTTAGACTCCAACACAAAATATATTTGATAGTAAGTGCTAATTATGAGTGTATAAAAGTCTGCGTTGCAGTACATTTGAATATTAATGAAAAATTCTCCACGTTAGTCTTTCTCAGCAATAGTAGTTAAGTGTCTATCAATTTCGCTTTCTGGTAGAATTCTGAAATTAAAATAATAATTAACATAAAATGAAGTTTACTCAATCAGCCTGCATTATACTTGAAATGACTTTACCTAAATTTAGGATTATCCTTGGAAACAACACCAACTTCAATCTCACTAGGCTTAAAATCAACTGACAAAACTGTTGACAAACAGGTGATAGCAAGTTGAACTGTTTCATCGTAGTCATAGTTTTGTTTTTTTTTAAGTTTCTTTTCCAAGTAAGAATTCGCCTCAGTATGTTTTGATCCTGCAGAAACTGCTCTATAGCCACAGAAGTAACCAGCTGGATCTGCTTTGTAGATGCAGGCACCTTTCTCATCATCATAAGCAACAAGAATCATTGAGCATCCAAGAGGTCTCATCTCAGCATTTTGAGTGTAAACTTGATTGATGTCTGCTATCCTTTTACACAATACATCAATTGGAATTTCATATCCATATTTATATTTGTAATGTGCAGCTTCATAGCGAGCACGCTGCACTTGAGATCGACTATCAGCTGTAAAAATAATAATATTTTTAATCAATGTATTTAACTTATAGATGTTAGCAACTTAAAAAATTGCAAGCAATGACACAAATTTATTTGAATCAAAGTGTAAGAAATTCTGTAATCATCAGAATCATACCAATCATTCCAGTCATGAGACAACCAATGCGATCTGTGATAGGAAAAAGATGGGTAACAGTAGCTGGATCTAAGAGCTTATCCTAAAAATCATGCGAAAAATTAATTTCGAATGAACTTATCAAGTTAAAATATATTGCTTCAGAAACACAAGTCGAAAAGTGAGGTTACCATGATAAACAACTTACAGGCACTTTCTTCTGTGTAGCGCAAACGGCGGTATCGACGCCTTTAACACCCACCGACGTAAGGCCACCCTGATTGATAGCCTTAAAGGCATATTCTATGGGAAACAAAATAACGAATCTATCAAATGCTATCAATGTACAGTTTCAAAAAAGTGCAGATCACGCCGAGTAGGTGGCAATCATAAATTAATTTAAGGTAGTCAAACTCGTTGAAATTCGGAGAAAAGTAATTTGAATGGCAGTATAAAGATCAGATATTGTAGTTTTTACTTTTTTGTACTTACCTACTTGATAAAGGCGGCCTTCCGGAGAAAAAATAGTGATATGCCTGTCAAAACCAGCGCTGCTACCTCGCGCCATGTTGCTAATATATGAATGCCGCTTCGTCTCTGCTCTGAGTCTCGCGGTTGCTTCTGACGTCAATTTGTAGGATAGTTGCTTATCTACGTATATAGATATAGAATTCATCTATACATGTAATTGAATCTGTTTTTTCGAATAAAATTTTTGGGCAGTTAAGTTAATTGACGCTTTGAAAATTAATTATTATTTTTTTACTGATATTAATGAATATGGTATTTATAATATTCAATTTGAAGGTAAGATCATAGAAACAAAAAAATAATTATAAAAAAATATTACTTTATTTACACAATTATCTACATTATTACAAATTCATAGACATTTGCACAGGATTATCTTCAGCTTTCTTATTATAAACTTGCATTTCAGCTACATACTTTTCTTTTGATCTCTCATACATATCATAATACACCTGCAAATATTAAATAGCTAATGATATTATGTTAATTTAAAACTCATTCCAGAAATCATATAATGTAAGATTAACAATTACCTTTTTATCCTCAGAACTGAGTGACTTCCAAGTAGTTGCTAATTGTCTAGTGAGTTCTTGCTTGCTTGGCTCTGGCTCACCAGCTAATCTTTCCATAACTCGAGGTCTTTGCTCTTGGCAAAATTGAAAAAATGGATTAGCAGGTCTTTTGGGTGCATTAGGATCTGCTTTAGTACCCTTTCGTTTAGTCCCTTTTTTGGGTTTTTCTTCTTTTACATTATTCCCACTTGATTTTAAACCTTTTTCTTGTTTTGGTGCACTTGGAAAAACATTATTCTCTTCCAGCACTCCCATTGGAACTTCTCTCCAATTATCACCATGTTTATCAAGTCTATCAATCAAGTACCTAGCGCGATAAGAAAACGAAAGTTCGATTAAACTCTCGTGAAGTGTGTAAAAATAAACTGAATTATTGCTACATGAAGTACGTGGATGAGAAGCAAACTTAACCTCCTTACTTACTTTTTCTCTTTTTTGGCTCTTTTCAAAATTTTTCGAACCAAATGAATCCTATGCACCAACCGTTCATTATCCTTAAAAAAAAACAGTTTATTTTACAAAATAACTTATAAATTATAGTATCTATTTACGTAAAAAGTTAGTTATTGATAAAAACCTGTTGTAAAACTTCGCATCGTTCGGCAAGCAGTTGATATTTTCTTTTGTGAATGTCAAATTCCTCTGGCTCTCCATCAAAATCCGAATCGTCCGACATTGAGAAAAGCTTATATTTCACTTACGCTACTTTTCATTTTTTTAATAGCAAAAAAATTTTTGTGTTTTCCAAATTAAATAAAAAATCGTAAGGTCAGTCTGCAGACGACAGGTGCGCTATCTCAGATATGTATAGATATATATATGTGTGTGTATGTATAAAATCTATCGTTGACATCAAGAAAATTTGACTGTTTCGTCGTTAGCTCGTATATCATAATTAAATAAAGTTAAGATACATGAAAAAAATAGAGTAGTTTTCGGCATTGTCAATGGAATTAGTGTACTTGCTTAATTATATAATTATGTATATATTACAGATTAGCATTCCAACTTAAGTTTTCACATAATCGTTATTAAAATATCGAAAACTTTATGAATAGAACATACTTGAATAAGTTCATTATTATATAAAAACGTTCAATTGTAACAAACATACTTTTAAAAGCATTGTCGGTTCATTCATAAAAGTAAATGTTTAAAAAGGTCACACGTTCAAAATTTCGCGGTAAGCCTATATCCGTCTATAGTGGCGTCCACTTGGACAATTTACTCATTTTTTACCAGCAAAGTAAACAATTAAGTTGTTTTTCGTTGAATTAATGTTTTCATCTATTCAATAGCTGAATAAAAGTAATTTAGAGGTATTGCAATAAATATTAAGTGAAATGTCCAGTGTTGCGAGATTTTTATTTCGAACTGGAAGTACTGTAAGACATAAATGCACTCTATAATGTCGGTATGCATTTCAATTTTTATATTGAAATGAAAATAGTACAACAAATTCAACGATTATTTTTCGGCAATGCAGCCGAAATTTTATTGATAAACGTCTTTGTTCATTTATGTAAATTAAATAAATCAATGAGCGTAGTATTACGATATGAGTTTAATTTAAAGTTTTATTTTTACCGCATTGATAAGAAAAACAAGTTTTAACTATTTTTTCACTGTATATTGCTATTTTTCAAATTATGTACTATTTTAATTGTGCAGGTGTGAATGTCTATATGTTTGCATGAGTAGCCTCTCTATCTCTGTCTCTTTCGTCGCGGCAGCAACTAGCACAGGCAGTGAGCTGCAGTATACAAGCAACGTTATAGCAACCGCAGAAGCAGCGTCCCTTTTGCGAGTGTTCGCTAGAGTTCGCAGTGTTCGCGCGAACTCTAGCTGTCGAGTGTTAACTTTGCTTCGAAATCATCGCCTAAAGTGACAAGGTGATTATTTTTACACCAAACAAAGTCTACTATTCAACGATCTGCCTTTATTTTTTTAATCACTTTGCTTGCTCTCTCTCTCTCTCTCACTCTCTCTCTCTCTCTCTCTATCTATCTATCTATCTATCTATGTATCTATCTATCTCTTTCTTGCTCACTCTTTCGGGATCTCTGTTCTTGTTGCCACACGGTACATCAAGTCTTCCCCTCTTCTTCCCACTGTATGCTGCTCTGCTCTGTGTGCTTCCTCTCTCGGTAGACTGTTTTTTACGGTATCGGCTCTTGCCACCAGTGCACTACGTTCGCGAGCTACCCTGGGCTCAACCAAATTTTTGCTATTTTTTTTTCATTTTCACTGTGTACACTGCTTAGTAACTGCCGTAAGGCAATCCAACAGTTATTGTCTGATTCTGCTATTTTACGCTTCGACAGACTTACTTTGATAAACGTTTGTCTTTTTTATGAGATTTACCGATTGTTAATTATTTTTTCAACTGTGCGTTTATTCCAAAGGTGAATATACTATATTTTGTATGTATTCTATTAGTGCTGGTTTGTGTGCTTTTTTTTACTTTAATGTATAAACATCGTAGGTGAGTATTCGTCAATTACTTCTGAGCAGCTTTAATATATTGCTTATCTATATAATTGTATTTGTAAATATAAAGAAAGTTCGCAAATGATGTAAGTAATCATGTCAATTTGTATAAAAGGTTAGATTTTGAGAAAATCTATCGAAATAATTGTTTTGTGTTGCATTCGAAAATCAAATTTGGGGAATAGCACTTTTTGTAAGGAAATAGCATTTTTTCAAGAAAATACGGAATTATTTATAGAAAGGGAGGAATGAAATCGAAAGCACCCCTGTGCATCTGTAATATTTTTGGAAAATTTGAAGGCAAAAAATGAAAATGCTTACTTGTAATTTACTAACAGATACATCTCGTTACATTTTACGAAAAACCTTGATTTCGTTAAATATCACAAATAAAAAACTAGCTATTATTTGATTTTCTGAAACTGACGGACCGATTTAAAATTTTGTAATAGTTTACCAAACAATTTTAGTGCTAAAAGGTCGAAATGATCACAAAAATTCTGTTCTTTCACGCTATTTGTTTTTATACAAATTACGTATGCAATTTGCTTCAGTAAACTTTCTTTGTTTTATTTTGTATCAACAAAGACGTTAACATTGCAGGTTAGGTTTTGAAAGATTCGATAATTACAAGATGCCGGAAAAAAATTTGTTTATTATATTGCGTTGCAAATTTAATGATGACTATTGCTTTTTCCCATGTGTTTAATTATTGATTGGATAATAGGTGTAATGTAACGTTATCTCATCAAACCTATGCTACTTTTTATTAAATTATGATCGCAAATAATGTTTCTTAATTTTATTAAAATAGATATACTTTGTTGAAAAATTCATGAATTCAAATGCGAATACAACATATTGGTTATTATAAATGCATTACCTTTTAAAAATCTTTTACAAAACAGATTTGTTTCAAAACTATTTTTTGTACCGTTAATTAAACGAACAAATAAAATTCGTCGCGATTGAAATTGATTGCTGTAGTAGTATTGTTGTGATCCATGAATTTCCTATTAATTTTCTAAATTTGTTCTATCGACACTTATTCTCTGAATCAAAAATTTCGATATTTCATGCTAAATTAGTTTTTTTTTTATTTTTTGAATTACAATAATTTTATGTATTAAAAATAACTCCATTTCGTATAAAATATTTGGATTAATAATAAAATATTGTTTTTGCGCAGAACAATTGTTAAATTAATTATAAGAACTTCGAGTTTTCTCTGTTGATGTAGCGTAAACAAAGGCAAACTATTTTACCTAAATGCTTTAGGTGAAAATCTGTTATGTGAATCCTAATTATATTACAGGTGAATCCAGTAAAGGAAGAAGATGGTTTCCACTCGCCAATCCAGTAACAGCAGCACCAACATTGATGGTTCAATATTATGCTGCGACAAAAGTTACGATGCCGCGCCGTCAAATACATCGTCGCGAAGGAATCAACAATCGCAGAGTGGTGCAGTATCCACGACAGATAACACGTCGTACATCAATATTCTTGATTTACCTGTCGAAATTTTACAAAAGATCTTAGGCTATTTGGATTACAATTCGATCGCTCGTTTGCGCCCAGTCAGTATTACACTTATTAACTACTTTTAGTACTTGTACCAAAATAACCATTGTTTCTTTTGTCACAACAGGTATGCCATCAAATGGACAAAGTGTGCGGTTCAATACTGAATTCAGCGTTTCAGCGACTTCAGACACAGATGCTCAGTCGTTTTCAAGCTATAAAGGCGCAAATGCCCAGGAGAGAATCTGCTAGACGAAATCATCCTTTGGCTTGCGAATCGGATATTATCGAAACTTTACACATGCGATTGACGCTCTTACAAATGAGCTTTGGCAAACATATCGAACGAAAACACTGCTGTTTTTTTCCAGGCGAAGTAATTAGAAAAAAAAATTGGTTATCAGTTGTCGTTGTGTGCTTGTTAATTATATGTATTTTGAAATTTGTCTTTTTTCAGATATTAGATGAAGTTAATCGTATATTACACTACATCAGAGTGACACCAAAATTAGCCCGACCTTATAAAGTTACGGACGAGTTATTCGATTTGAGTACAATGGCAATGGAGTACTTTAAAGATTGTATCGAACCAACTCTACCTGAAATACCGTATTTTGGAGCTGAGTTTCTCGACCTGGCTGGAACTTTTTCTTGTATGTATGCTCATTTACAAAGTGTAGCGCTAGCCAAATAATCATATATGTTACTTAGGAAACGTAAATAAAATCATTGGTACAAGTAGGCATAAAGCGATATTAGTGATATTTGATTGAATAAAAAGCACAGATTACGGTTCTAACTAGAATTCATACGCTCGAGAAATATAATGATCGATCAACATAACTTTACAGCATCATCAAATAATAAATGAAAAACCTTTCCTTTACCTGAACACAGCCCCACTAAGTGTACCGGAAGGTGGTAAGGCGCGTGGCAGTGCAAGCAGCGGCGAGGCATCACCATCGTGTTCGGGTAATGATGAGTCAGGTAGCAACGCATTGGATAGCAACGTGTCAAGTGGTTCAGCCTCGTCTCCTCAATCCAACATGGTACTACGTAAACGTATTCGAAAGATTAAGCAAGGTATGAAGCGTTACAACAGCCAACTTACCATGATGCGTCGCGACCTAAGGACTTGTAAGGCCAAAATAGCCGATCAACAGAAGCAAATGATCGAGTATGCTACGAGGCTTGACGACAATGACAAGAAGAACGAAGAAACTTCCAGAAAGTTTAGCACTCTGCTACAGGTACTTACCAAGGTATACCCTTATCGTCTTGATGAGCTCTGTTGGACATTACGAGCGAATAACAAATTTGTTATTGAAATTCACCTTTTCACTTTGTTGATTAACCAACCGACTCACTATTGATTACGATGTAACGATAGCACTGATTAATGCATTTTTATTGTAGGAGTTGAACAAGTGCAAAACCGAACTACAATACTGGCGCTCAAAGTCGCCAGCAATCCCTGTATATTTCGGCTGCGGTCAATCTTTGCCAGTACCCACGGATGACTTTCAATCGCTGGCGAATCAAGGCATCCTTGCAAACGTCGAGACGAGTATCAACGAAGGGCTCGATTTTATTCCCATAGCTGATGTGGCTGTACGTAGCCCAACGGAACGAGAGATCGATGGAATGTTGGGTATGCCAACAGCTCAAGTATCACAAGCAAGCAGTAGTAGCAGTGCTAGCAGTTGCAGTAGTACAACTACCTTTGAATCTATGGCTCCACCTAAAACAATATCACTTCTATCCACGGCCACTACAACACCATTACCACCACCGCCGGCTCTCATCACGTCATCGAAAAGGAAATCAGCTTCTTCGTGCTCTGAGGATGATGCAATTAAGAAACCTCGACGCATACTCAAATCACGACAGGCTAAGCGTTCCAAAATATAAAATGCCTTTGTCGTTGTTTCTTAATTTTCATTTATTGACTGCTATATCTCGGAAATTGTATTCGTGTATAACTTGTCCCGGATTTCTTTGTCTTATATCGACTTTTTTTTTTTTTTTTTTTCACGACAAAACACAAGAAAACAATTTCGATTACATCACAAAGCACAACTTTTTTGTTGTTAATACTAATTGATTAGTTTCAGTGTTTCTTGTCAAATTGTATACATTCTTTCACGGCGAGCAAATAATCGTAAGTTTTTATTTATCAACTGTAGTAAGTTTTTAGTAGGGATTTTATTGTATTACGGATAGACATTTGAACGCGTACAGAACGTATCTCATGTGAATTTCAAAAGAAATTTGTTGTCGAAACTTATTCACTTGATTGTATTACGTTGAATCGCTTGTATTGAAAATTTGGAATCGGTAAATTATATCCTTGAAATCGTTAATTTACCATAACAATTTTTTATTATAATTGTATTATGATTATGATTTTTTTCTGATCAATAGATATTTACAGAGTTTTTCAAAAACGTGTAGGTTGTAATATAATTAGAATAATTTGATTGCTGAGTAGTATTCTTATTTGAAATTAATCTTAAATAAATTTATGATAGGTTTGAATACGAATAAACATAATATAATTCATATATAGAACTTTTTAAAATAAGTCATTGTGAATTTCATTTTTGATACTACTGAAAATACCCATACACATCTAATCAGTATATAATTATTTACTGATTTATTAATTGTTCTTTTAATTAAAAAAATGTATATTTTGAAGTAATTTGAAATGTTTATCCTTATTTTCGAACGTTTCGTTTTCTTATAGAAAATAAGTAATCGTAAATGTTAAACATTCGTCGTAAATATTCTTTTCATAAAACTTCTACTTTATGAAACAAAGTAATATCGATGCATAATGAATTAGCAAAAATAATTTTTAAAAATATGATTTTGAAATTTGCTCGACTTAACAATATTGAGATATTTTAATTAATGCAATATTAATACGCTCTGTACCTGCATTTACTTGGCGTTCAAAAGTATAAGACAATGATATAACATGACAAGCAAAAAAGAAAACGATAAGAAAAGTAAATGATTCATCAATATTTTTTGATGACCCAAGAGGTTAATTATTCGACAGATATTCTAAATAAAAAAAGAGATCGGTTATCTGCTTCAATCGTTGAAAGAACAGAGCCGACTACGATACGCGCCGTCTATGTCTGTAGAGGCGAGTAATGTATGTTTGAAAATACGGTGTGCATTGAGAACGAATGTATGTGTGACAAAAAATAATTAAATAATCAATGAAATATTTGAAATAAATAATATTGTCAAATGTACGAACTTGTTGAAATATAAATAATAATTAGAACTTTCAGCGTCGTATCGTTAATGAAAAGAAGACACGAGGAGGGAAAAAGCTTTATTGCTGTATAAATACATTTTCAAAATATATAAAATGCTTTGCCAAATATGAGATTCTATGAAACGACGTACATTTGCGATTTATTACTATTTTCTTTGATTTTCCATTATTACTAAAAAGGGTTAATTATAAACTCATTCGTTTTAATTTTGTATTTATTTCTTATGGTATTTTATAAATAACTTTTGCAATATTGAACATCTTATTTATTTTTATTTGAACTGCAGATACACACTTTATTATTTTATATTTCGTATAAAGTTTTGTATTCTGATAAATTGATATTTTTCAATTGTAAACTGCATTTCCTTTTTTGATTTTCTTTAGTTAATAATAAGTAATATTATTGATCATTTTTGAAAAATTGATCAATACCATTACGGATAATATTAATTTAGTTGTTTGTCAGTGAATGTAATTGAATTAAACTGAAATGCGTTTGCCAGGACTATTTTATAAAGTGTATTAGAGTATCTCTTGTAGATCTGTGCTCCAAGTGTAATTACAATAATGTCTTATTGGAAATAAAGAACGTAGGTTAGTTGATTAAAAATTAGATTTATTTTATAAAATGAGCCTACATCTTATATTTCATACATTGCGGTAACTGCACTATAAGAAATCAACAGTTTAATTATTTTATTTTTAATAAATTGAAAAACAAATTATTATGATATAATTGAAGAAAGTAACAGCTAGTAAGATTATTAAAAAGCATAGAAATAAATTTTAGAATACATTTATAATAAATTCTACAACAAAAATCACTAATGAATATTTTGTCAATATTAATTTTATTGTGCTGTAAAAGAAAAATTTATATATTCTGTGTAGACATAAATTTCCAACTTTAATAATTAATTTATTGAAATATGATTCTAGAAGTTAATAAACTATAACTACTCAGTTGCGATTTGCAAATTTTAAATTTTACACATAGACATAGTCACCAACTTAAATGTTTCAAATTCCCTATCTAGCAATATCTTGTAGTGACTTGTATTACCTACATTACATATACAAGAAATTTTAAATCGTAATAGGCACTGCATCGCGCTTACCGATTAAGAAAAAAACAATGGAAGATCGGTTGGTTTACCGAATACACTTTTCGGTATATAAACAAAAAACTGTCGTACACGATAAAAAGGCAAATTCAAAGATTCAGATATCAACTTGCATCATCTCGCCTATTATATATATTAGCAAAACGGCTTGCGGTTACCCTCAAAGTTTTTGTTTGAAATATAGAAGAAAAACATTTTCTACTTAAAAAGTGTATAGACGTGCATGCATAACAAGTCTGAAAAGATATTTTATTATTAATTAACGTAGTAATTACGTACAGTATACATAAATATACAGAAACACACTTAAATATACTGCAAGCTATCGCCTTTTTTTATAAATAAACTTTTAATTTATTTCATTATTTTGAAGCATATCAATATTTTTAGGTTAAACTCTCTTCGTTATAAGATTTGAGTACAAATAAAATGTCAGCTGCTAGAAATGAACAGACTGAACAAGATCGAAACAATGAAGCAAACAATTTTATGCATGAACAAGATGGCATTATTCTTGATAATAATATTGAATCATATTATACTACCTTATTGTCTATGTTTCCTTATGTTGATTCAAGATATATTAGAGAACTTTGTGAACATGCATCATTTGATTCTAATGAAGATAATAAGCTGCAAATGTTTGTTGATCATCTTATTCATGGTGATGTAAAACTTAGTTCTGAAGCAATAGATAATGATAATGAAGCAAAAAGTAGTGATAAAATTTTAACAGAAATACTTCAGTTGGATGAAATAGAGATATGTGAGATTAAAAAGCAAAATGAAAGATTGAACAATGATTTGCTAACTTATGAATTTATTAAACAAGATCAAGAAGCTGTAGATCAAAAAATAAATATTTTAGAGAATATCTTGCCTGATGCTAATCCTAAATTTTTGAGGGATTTCATTATAAATAATCATGAAAATGATAGGTCAATGGAAGAATTTATTGAATCAAGTCTTACTAAAAGAAATTACGAGAAAAGGGATAAATATTATGCAAACATGAAGGCAAATGAGAAAATTGTGCAGTATATAACAGGCTTCAAAGTTGATGAATTTGTAAAACAATTTCCAGAACCATTTGAATACTTTGAAAATATTGAAAGACAGGGAAGGTTCAAAGAACAAGCTTTTATTTTTTTAAGAAAAAGATATTTGAATAATTCAGTTTGTAAACGTTGAAGTAAAATTAATACAATTACAAAATTTTACAGTTACTGAAATGGATTCTAATGTTTTTAGGAGCAGTACTTGTCAAATGTTTATTCAGAGACTAACTATAACTTGAGTCTTGCTGATAAACAAATACAACTAGAAACAGGTATAGGTACAACTATTGTCAATATAGAATTCGATGATACTGTGCTTTTACAGGAAATAGCATTTATTCAAAATAAAGATTCAATCAAACTTTATTTAGATTATAAGAAAAGTGAAGAAGAAAAAGAGTTTGAGATGTTAAGGGTAAACCTTCATATATGTATTTGTACTATTTTCCATGAATTATGTTGTCGTAAGTAGGATGGGGTGTAGCATCTATTTAAATAATATATATTTTTTCAGACAAAAAATTTATTATTGGAATGTCAGTGTTGTTTTAATGAGCTTAAACCAACTGAGTGTATTGAATGTGATAATAATCACATATTCTGTATAAGATGTGTTAATAAAGGCACAAATCTAGCAATTTCAAAAGGTCATACATCTGTTCAATGCTTTTTTGGATGCGACAGAGAAATAAGTCTTAATGTGCTAAGAAAAGTTTTATCAAGTTCTACTTTTGACATACTATTAAAAAAACGACAAGAAGCTGAAATTATAGCAGCACATCTGGAGGATTTGGTAACTTGTCCATTCTGCTCATACCAAATGGAACTTGCTCCACAAATAAAAATCTTCACTTGTAAAAACGTTGAATGTATGAAAATCACATGCCGGTGGGTGTAATAGCTGTAGAATAGTCTAATTCTTTTTTGTTTATAATTACGTTATATATCATAATAGCTTTGAATTTCCAGTTTATGCAGAAAAATAAATCATCTTCCTATTAGGTGTGAAGATGTACTTGATGAGCACAAAGGTCGTTTGTACATTGAAGAAGAAATGAGTAAAGCCCTTATAAGGATTTGCCACAGATGCCAAAAACCTTTCGTAAAAAGTGTCGGTTGTAATACAATGACTTGCATTTGTGGTGCGCAAATGTGTTACATATGTAGACAACCATTCACAGTAGAATATTCTCACACAAAGTAAGTGTAAAGTTCTAAAATTCTCATCTACTTTTATATATTTTTTCAACTAAAGTTTCACGTAATACTTTTAGTTGTAAAATAAACAGTGACGTTTTCGATCAAGAGCACGTTGAAGTAAATCGTACAAAGGCTATTTCTAAATTGTGTAATGATTTTCCAGATATAGACATACCTAATGTTTAAAATAATCAAGAAAAGTCTTTATCAAAATTAGTTAACTACAGAGTTTTTATTATTTCGTTTCAGTTCACCATTATTGTTACAACTGTATTTTATGAAGATGAAGTTTATTTAGAGTTACTGAAATTTTTTAAACATATAATTAATACAATAAAAATATAAATGATAATTTGATTTTGTCTATTGTTTATGACATTATTAATAAAATTAAAATTTTTTAAATATGCATTTAATCATTGTTATGTAATAATTTAAGTTATTAATAACATTTTTTTAATTTTTGGGCTATAACTTTCTTCATCACATAATTCATTATGTTTAGCCATGCCTTTTTTGAGTGATTACCCTTTATTTATTGAATAGTTAATAATACAATGTAATCATTTCAAAAATGAAGTTCACTAATTCAGATATCTTTTAGAAAGAAGACTTATGATACATTTATTTTTTGATTGCCGACATGTTTAATCTTAGCTTGATAAACAAAAAAAATACTGTTTGTAAATAGTTTTGCAGCTTTTATACTAAGCAATTCTAATGCAGATGATGTATTTTTATAGAAAATAAAATTTGTATTAAACGTTATTTAGATCATAGTAAACAGGAAAAAAAGCTACAAATTTTACCAGTCAGTTTTTATTTAAGAACTTGTATCAATAATCCATTTAAATGATCGACGATATAAGTTAAAGTATTACTTTTCTTCTTGACAAAAAATATTTTAATGGAATATCTACGTTGTTATATGGTAAGCTAAAAGTGTATAAAATATGATAATAATCACATTTTCTTTCTAAAAAATGTGTTGTAAGAGGAATAAACTTAACAATTACAATGTGGTCAAACAACTGTTGAATGTTTCATGAGCTGCAACAAAGAAATAAATTTAAATATTATATAAAGGATTTTACCAAATAGTATTTTTGAATTGTTTCTAAAGAAATATTAAGAAGCTGAAGTTAAAGCAGCACAACAGCATAATTTGGTAATTTATCCATTTTACCCTTATCAGATGGAACTTATTGCACAAATTTAAATTTTTACTTGCAAAAATCTTGAATGTATTAAAATTACAATGCCGATAGGTGTTATAACATTATTTTATAAAAGATCAGTTTCATTTTTTGTTTGTAATTATTTTTTATAAAAATTTTGAATTGTAATCGTGTGCAAAAGAATAAATCATCACTCAATTATGTGTAAAAATTTGTTTAATGAACACAAAGGTAGATTATTAATGAAAGAGTTGATGAGCATAGTTGTAAAACTTGAGGGATAATATGTAACGAGATGATATGCTATGACGGTTCCACGATAAATTATACATGTAGGCAACCTGTATCTGTTACCATCATTTCGATCGAAGCGGAAGATATCAATATATCGTTACGGTTACCTATTAGAATCGCATTAATTTTCATGTTTTTACATATAATACACACCGAAAATGGAGAATTATTTAATAGAGAACACTGAGTTAAGAAACGTTTAAACTACTACAAAATGATGCCAAGGTTAAAGTTATATGAAAATTTCCGGTTCATTAGTTATATATATGTGTAGATAACTGAATTTTTTGGTACCAACCAATCGTATTTGGTAACCAATGTAGTTATTATTATTATTCAGGTTAATTTGTACATTAAAAAACTGCTACAATAAGATTTTAGAATTAAAAGTATAATAAGGTAATTTTTGTAGTAAAAAAACAAGGTTTGTATGGGAAAAATACAATTTATTTTTTTAGAAAATGTTTATTAATGTAAGAAAATGTCCCCTTTTTTTCAACATACCCTAGTAATCTTAATAGAAAATAGATATATACAAGAAGATGCAGGTATTTTTAATTATTCCAATAAACGTGACTCATCAGTTGAGGTCTGATATGATTAAAATTAACGTGAATAACAGTTTCGGCATTTAAAAACGAGCAGTACAAAAAGTATGGCACGATCGGGTATAGAAAAGGGCATTGGAAAGTAACAAAAATGACCTTACCTTACAAATCTATCTACAGATTAGGATAATCTTATATACATAGAAGCTCTGGAAAATCTCTGAAGAGATTCAGAATCACTTAAAATTAAATCAATACAATTTCATAATTGTTTCTGCAAAAATTTTACAGAAAATAGAAAGACATAAAGTACCAAATGGATCAACTGCCTTCTTTTAAAAGCTCGTCCTCAAGCGCAGCTGTGAGCTTAGCCTCAAAGTCTTTATTTTTCAATTTCTGTTCTTCTAATTGTTTATCAAGAAACTCGACAACGCTTTGTACTTCAGAAATTTGATTTCGCATTTCTTCACACACCACATCGACTGGAACTTCTTCTTCTTGCTGTTGACAAGTTTCGTTCAATTCGTTGATGTCGCACTTAAAATCCAGATCTATTTGTGAGGTCGACACTGTTATCCCTTGTACCTGAAAACGTTGTTTATTCAATTTTAGTAAATAAATAATAGAAAATCAAATTCCTGCAAGATAACTGATTTGACTAACCACTGGATTATCGCTATCATCCACCATATCAGTCTCAATGTTGGCCATATATTCAACTAGAGCATTGGATTTAAACCACCACGGTAGCGTTTGAAAATGTTTCACATGATTCTTGTTGTAAACTACTCGAGTGTTGCCAGGAATGTCACTGATTTTCTTGCTCATAATATGAAGTAGAACGTCGGCAAAATTTATCTGGCTATTCTCGTTGTAGCCAGCAATGAGGAAAAGATCAGCCATGATATTACTCGTGATAGCCAAGCTATTTTCGTGGCTCAATAGTTTACGGCAGTAACTGACTATCGCGTTGTGAAGCTGCATCATATCACGAATTGGCCATTCATATCTGGAAAAATATTGAATATTTAATATCTTCGCGTCTTGAAATTTTACATTTGACACAAGAAACTTACGTCCAAGACGGAAAAATGAAGCTACTCGTGATATTTAAGAGCTCAGCGCGATACTCGGACTGTTTCCAGACAGGATCAAAGTATTCATACGTGCAGGGGTACGGTCGTTTGTTGTCCAAAAAAATTTTCAGTTCTGGAGCAAAATCAGTGTAACTTATCGACTCGCTATCCATAATTATATCTGTTAAGTAGTTGACTGCCTCATTGTGTAGATTAATGATAAAATTAGGATCATTCAAAGGCGCGTAATATCTTGCGTCATGCGACAGGTGACCTTGAATCCTATAAATCACAGTTAGATATTGAAATCGACTCGAAAGTAATACAATCAATTGAAGTAATCTTAAGAATTCCCACCTGAGCCAAAGCTCTTCTGTAAGACAATCGTCAAATATCCTCTTGAGATAATCCATTTCAAGTGGAACAGCTGGTGATCTGTTGACTGCCAACCAAAGAGTGGCACTTTGAAATACCCTAAGTACCACGTTCTCATCAAGACTTCTCTCGTATAAAATCGTATATTCCGATACGTGCCCAGATTCCAACACATTTTCCAATACCGATGATACTTCGATTACATTTGGATCGACGTCATCGTCACCAAAAACGACAATAACTAATGGTATAGGTGGCAATTTACCACGTCCTAATATCGTTTTCATCAGTCGATACTCAATCGAACGTTCGTCTTCGTCGCCGAAAATGATGAACAATAGTGCATCCATTCCTGTTAGGCAATTTTCGCAGATTAATCCCTCGAAGTATCGAATGCAAATGTCCAGACGCTCATGTGGACTTGGCTTATGTTCAATAAAGATTGGTTCTTGCGTGAAATCTGATGAGCTGAGGTACCTGTGAAAAAAGAAATATAATTTTAAAATCAATTTAGATGTAATAACTTTTGAATTTTTCATTTCTCAAAAACTTACTTATTAATAGCCTTCTTGTGTCGCCAGGGAGTGAGCCTATTTTCAAGTAGTGGCCAAGACACGACCATCTTCCAGAAATTACGTTGACTCATCTCTACGTCAAACGACTTGGCATTCTCTTTGAGTCCAACGCTGATTATGAACGCGATAGGCGCGTGTTTGACCTTCTTCCGTTCCGGTGCCTCTAGCAAACTCTTTCTTCTGTTTTCCCTTGCATATTGTATGGCCAGTTTTTGCTGCGGATTGTAGAATTTTCGCGCGCAGTCATCGATGCTTTCCGATTGCAACCAGACCGGTGTATTGTCAAGTGCTTCTCTCCTTTGTGCTCGACGTTTTGCTGCCCATTGTTTCCAAGCCCGACAGTATTTGAGGAGTAAACGATCTTGCATCCGCCTCTCGACTTCGATCAACATGTCTTGCATGAATAATTGTTCGTCAAGGATATCCTTGTACAATTCCTTGAGCATTCCCTCGAACATGCGTTTGCTTAAGTTGTCGATTAGCTCAATTCGTTCCAATTCGGCTTGTACTATCGACGTACATACTTCGTTTATCACCTCTTTCTCTAGAATGTCGTACTCTTTAAAGCTGTTCATGATTCTCATTTTCAAACGTTCCAGCCTCTCTCTTTCGGCTTTCAAACGCAGCTCCGCCTCAAACTGTTTCTTCAGTATTTCGTGCTTATCTGTGAGTATCTTCTTTTCCACAACGCTGCTCTCAGTCGAGTTCTCGAGTGGCCGTTTCGTTGGCGTACGTTCTTTCGTGCTGTTACGAAAAAAATTATGTAACTCTATGAAAGACTTTTCTTTTGTAATAGTAACAGTCTAAAACTCAATTTACCTTAGAACTTCAACCTTTTGGACTTGCTCTGACAGCTCAGTAGGTGGCGAAGCTGGAGATACTTTAAACAGATTCGTCTGAGGTCCACTTGTACCCGAAAAAAGACTCTTGTTTACAGCCATGTTAATCGCCGAGGTAGTCGGTAATGTGGTTATAGGTTTGAATGCGGAGAAAACCGACGACGGTTGATTGTGCGTTGGTCCAAAAATTGAGGATGTCGTAATAGCGTTCGCAGAAGTAAATACACTTTGTATCGTTGTTTTTGAAACAACACTAGTTTCCACTGTCGTTGCAGGTGTAAATTCTTTATCAAACGTCGTCGTTGTCATTGATGATAGTGGCGCGGATTCCGGCTTCTTGAACGTAGACATCGAGGTAGTTACCGACCTGAATTAATAAAATAAAATTTGATCAAGCAACATTCCTGCAAATAGTCCAATTAGGATATAATTATCTTACTTGGTACGTTTCTTCTCATTTACATTGTTAAGTATTTTTTTTTGATCTTGTGCGTTGAAGGACTTTTTCATTAGGTAACCTTTAGCATTGAAACTATTGTATGGTTTGTGATTCTCGTATAATTTTTTAGGCCTCTTGCCACCGGCAATACACTCGCCAACTGATTGATTGATCGACAATCTCTTCGAAAGTACAAGATTGTAAGCACGATTTTGATCAAAGTTTTCAGGCTTGCGAAAGCTTTCTCTCTTCAGTTTAATGTAGAGGCTTTCCTTGTCACACTTGAGGCCAACCCGGTGACAAAATTCAAACACTTCGTCTTCGTCTTCAAAGCCAAGAATGTCGATCAACTCGTACAACGGATACTGTGTTGTGCCACTTGTACGACAATATGCTTTGACCATCGTCTCAAGTGCTTTTACTCGTACCTACGATCACACGTGTTTGCAAAAAAGAAGAGTCTCGAAAATCAAGCAATTCAAATTCCACTTACCTCGTTGAAGTATCGCATCAGAATGCAGGCATTCAAATAGCTAGTTTGTCTCACAAGTTTGAAAAATCTCGAGTAGTTATTCATATTCATGGCCGCATGCACGTCCAATGAAAATTTTACTTCGCGCGAGTGTTTCACATTCGATGAGAGAGTTCTCAATTCGGAGATGAAGGTACCATTGTTAAGATTCAACAGGATAACGTAGGCTCGAAACTCGGCCTCATTACTGCAGACTATATCGTTCTCTCTCAAATCGTCGTACATGTATTTCAAGCTCTGTAAACACTTAGTCAAATTTTCACTGTTGATCTTTGAATCGAACACCGTAGTGCCTTCGGCACAAAGTCTCTCCGAGGCAAGAATGTGAAATCTCGCGCACTGCTCGACCAACTCCACCGTGTCCAAGCAGCAGAGTTCTTGTTGAGTGATGTCCTTGCGGATACTTCTCATTCTATCCCATAAAAAGTTATACCAGTCTTCGAGGCTTGTGCCTTCCTCTTCACATAAGTCGACGATCTCGTGAAGTAAATAACTCATGGTAAGTTTGAGAGCCTTTACTGGTCTTAAATCGTGTGGCATTGGCTCCTCTTGATCCGCTGACGATCGGGAATACTGTTTGACGGCCAATGAGTGATCTATGCGGTATTCATCGCTATCTTTTAGCTGCTCATAACTAAATACTTGACGCTGAAATTCACGCATATATCTCTCCTTCTCAGGACACATGTCCGGACAGGTACCTTTAGTCACTTCAGCCGTGGCAAGGGATTTTTGCTTTCGGCGTTTTAATCGCATTAAACGATCTCTTGCGTCGAGGATCTGAAAATGAGTACAGAGTTTTAATCAGAATTTTTATTTGAATTTTATAATTGAATAGTTTTATACCGACTTTGTATCGCTCTTCAGCTGTCATTCCTGGCTGTTGAATTAAATTCTGCATCTCTTCTATAGCTGCTGAAGATATCTTTAGAATAGCTTTGTTTTCAGCAGGTGGTTCTACTGGAGAAGGTGGTTCTTCTTTTTTCAAAACTTTTGACTCGTTGACTATTATAGTAGGTTTTGTTGCTATTATTTTGGCTGATTTCACCAAAGACTTTGCTGCCAATGATGGATTACGCTTTTGTGAAATTGCCTTAGTGGTTAATTCTCTACTTATTTTTAATTTAGCTTTGGCAACTCTTTGATTTCTGCCTATTTGATCAGAATCTGGAAGATTGTAATCTGAGGGAGTGCTTTCCATTGCTCGTAATTCCTCCATCTGTTCTTCATCTAAGTTTAAATGACTGGCTATTTTACATGCCACAGATTGAGATTTCTTTGGTTTTGAGGACAACACTTCTTGAGTTGTCCAATCAGTTTGGAATTCTTCCTGACCATACGTTCCTCCTTTATTGTAAGCTTTTAATGCTCCATCATCAGTTGCATACCAAGCAATGATCATTTTTCGTTTTGGCCTTATAGTAATTTTTAGAGTTTCTCCAAACTTATCAAAGTGCTTTTTAGCTTCTGCTTTGAGTAGTAAAGCATCAGGAACATCTGTGCAAGTTATTGATTTTTCTATTTCTAATTTGACGTTAAGGTTCTTTTTATTTTTTTCAAGTCTACTGTATATTTCGGATTTTTTCAAATCATGTATAGATAAAGAAGAGTTAAGAACTTCCTTATTTTTGGAATTTCTACTCCGAATTTTTGCTCTGGCATCCAAAGAATGATAAGATGAGGAATCAGGTTCTCTGTTAGATTTTGTGTTTATTTTTCTTTCTAACTCTTCAGTAGACAACAAAGATTTTGGTTTTTTACTTATCTCTCCACATTTGGTAAAGATACTTGAGTCTTGAATGATAGCAGACTTGGAATCCTCATTAGATTTTCCAGATGCAATAAAAATTCTTTTTTCTGTGGTTTCAACTTCAAAAGGCAATTTGTGATCCTCGTTAGCTTTAGTACTTGTGACAAATATGTTTGTTTTTTCTGAATTGTGAATACCAAATGAAGATTTACCTGACATGGCAAAGACATTAGTCTGCTCATCACTCTGAGTTGCAAATGGGGACTTGTGATCTTTATTGGGTTTTGTACTTTCAACAAAAACATTTGTCTCTACTTCCTCGCTTCTCAAAGGTGACTTACAATTTTCATTGGACTGTGAACTTGTAGAAAATATACTACTTTGCTCTACTGAGGGAGCAGATAAAGGAAACTTAATATCTTCAGTGGATTTTACAACTCTAGCAAAAACATTTGTTTGGATGTCTTGAGTGGCAAAGGAAAACTTATGATCATCATTTATATTTTTACCAAATATATTAGTTTCTTCTATGCTTTTAGATGAAAAAGAAAATTTTAAATCATCAGTTGAAGTATTACTAACAGTAATATCTGTATCTTCCATATGATCATCTCTGTCAATTATATCTGGATTTGCAAAAGTAAAAGCTGATATCTCATTTGGTTGAGTTATTTTATTTCCAAATATATTATCAGAAAAAGCTCCAAAATTGATTGGCTTTTCTGGACTAGGAACAATGTTTGGTCTTGAGAAAACAAAACCACTAGAAGCAGCATCTGCTTCTGTATCTGAATCCACTTGCATGTCTTTATCCATTTTGATATGCATTAACAAAGTTGAAACATAATTTTCTAAAATTGAAATAAATTTATTAAAAAAATAAAACTGAAAATAGAAAATAAAACTCTTAACCTCAATAAATAAGTTTATATGTGAACTTTGACCAAGGTCAAAATTTTATAAAGCCTTCATTTTTAATTTTGTTAAAAGAATGTAATGAAACCCGAAGTTTACATTTTGTTATAAAATTAAATTGAAATATATTGAATTTCCTTCCAACACATTATAATTATTTAAATAAAAAATAATTATATTATGAATTTGGCTTTTATTAATTTCTAAATAAACATAACTAAATGAACCATATTTTCAGTAAAAAAAATAAGAATTATGTTAAAGCATGTAGTAAAGGCGAAACTTGATTATCAACAAAGAATTGAAAACAATATTGTCTTTTCTATGATGATATATACATAAAACTAGAATACCTCAGAATAAAAATTAAAAACAGAACGTAAGCTGATCAATAACACAAATTATTCAAAAAGTTTGATTGCCACATAAACGACTCCATGAGTCTAGTTTCTAGTTTGCTTATGTAATAAAATTTGAAACCTCTTAACGCTCACTTCTTATGCTATTGACTAAATAATTATAAGACGACTTTACATTTCGGTCATTTGGAGAGCGCAACACTATACATAACCTACATGGAGCATATAATATATATATGTATAGGTATAAATTTATATTTTGCGTCACTATTAATGGCGGTACTGTTTAAATTCACATATTTCAAAACTATCTATAGAATTTTTGCAATAACACTTTGATTTAAACAAACTCTATTAATAAATATCATCAACTAAAAGAATTATTTACATTGTAGATACTTGTTGCGAACTTGTAAAATAATTATTAGTTTTTGTTACATGAATAACTTTCGGCACTTTGGCGCCTCAAGAATACGTAGTGCGCAGACGTCAATTTTTGCACGTGCTGATGCGCGGGCTGCTAAAGTATATTTTATAACCAAAAAAGAAACAAACCCAAACTTAAATCATATTGTTTTTCTACAAGTCATTTTTTGTCGAATCGACTTAAAATATATTGACAATTAGTCTCTAGAGCCAACAAAAACGTGTGTAATTTCTTAGTTCGATAAAAGGTAATATTTTATGATACACAGAATGAAAAAATGTAAACAATTGTAAAATAATATGAACATGTTTCTTTGTAGGGAATAAAAATTAAAAAAATTTTGTAAAGTGAAGTATAAATCATGAAGAATATAATAGTAGAGACCCAAAAAATCAACATATTCAAAGATTGTGATGTTCTAGAGCCTGAGGGATATCATTATTGTTATAATGGTGACAATGATAAGTATTATTGTATTGGGGGTGAAGATGATTATTTCATGTCAGTCAATGTTCTCAACAACAAAAAAACTATTTACAAAAAAGTGTTCATAAAACAAGAAAAACTAACAAAAGCTGTGGGCATTGAGTATTGCAGTGTTACTAAAGAATTCTTTGTTGCGTATGAAAATGGAGTTGTAATATGTATGACTCTCAGAGAAGATAATAAAGTAAAATGCGATAATATTGCAGAGTTTAATGATGGTTTATATAGTATCAAACTGAGTCCTGATCATGACATTGTTGTTCTCTTGACAAAAGCTAATGTAGCTATCACTCTGTCATCTAACTTTGATATTTTCAATGAGGTAAACTTGAAATAAAATTTTGCAACACTAATTAAAAATTACTAATTTATATAATAATTTTAGACAAACCTAAACTCTTCAAATTTTGGAAAAAATCAGTTTATTACAGTAGGTTGGGGTAAAAAAGAGACTCAATTTCATGGTTCAGAAGGTAAAGCTTCTGCTAAAGCTAAGCCAAAATTGGTTGGAAAGAATGACGAAGATGTTGGCCTGCCTAAAATAACTTGGAAAGGAGATGGTAGTTTATTTGCCATAAGTTACATAGATCAAGAGACCAATGCAAGAAGGTTCAAAGTTTTAGATAGAGAAGGAGTTTTGCTTTACACTAGTGAATTAGTTGATTGTTTAGAGGGAACTCTGTCTTGGAAACCTTCTGGGAATTTCATTGCCTCAACAAGGAAGTTGCCTAACAAGCATACAGTTGCTCTTTTTGAAAAAAATGGACTCTTGCATAGAGAATTCACCTTACCTTTCACTACTAAAAACATTCTTGTCAGTGTTATACTTTGAATAATCTTAAATTTTACAATGTTAATAAAAATTGTTTTTCTCTTCTAGATTATTGACTTAATTTGGTCAAGAGATTCTGATATCTTAGGAGTATGGTACAAAGATCTTGATACAAATTTAATGACTGTCCAGTTGTGGACTGAAAAAAATTATCACTGGTACTTGAAACAAACAATAATTCATACAAAAGCAAATCCAATTTTATATGTTTCTTGGTTTCCACAAGCCAATAGAGATCTCATGATATTATCTACAAAAAATAATACAGTTTACACACTTTACTGGGTTATCTCTTGTAGTAGAGGAAAACAAATATCAGATAATGCAGTGGTGAGTGTTATAGATGGGAACAAGGTTCTTGTAACAAATTTCAGAGATGCTGTCATCCCTCCTCCAATAGCTCAACAAACTATGCAGTTTAATAGGCCTGTGAATGCCATTTCTTTTGCTCCAAGTAACAGTGAAGATTCTAAAATAAGTTCAAATGATTTTTTGGCACTTTTGAGCGGCAACAAAATAGCCTTGTGCAAACATATAAATGTAAATCAATTTCATATTATTTAAAAGTAATATGTTTATTTTTCTCATATATTATATTTTTCTTTTTATAGGAATCATGGGATAGACAATATGCACACCAGAAGACCTACAACATAGATATTCCATTGCTGAATGGAAACAAATATTCCAAACATTTAATACAACATTTACATTGGTATAACTCAAAACTCGTGCTATGTTCAATTACATTAGGCCTGAAAAGTTCTTTGTGTGAGCTGCATTTGTTTGACATTGAAGCCTTAGATGAGATACTCATAGATGCCAAGTAAGTTCAGCAGATAAAATTACAATAATAATTATTTACACTTAAATTCGATACGTGAATTTCCAGAATTATACATGAAATGCCTGGTCAGATAGAGCACATCATTCCATCGTCAGATTCGAAGATAGCTTACATAGTTGTCGAAGGTAAAATTTATTCGTACAACGATCGCGATGGTGTGCAAAAAAGCGACATGCTAATTAGTAATGAAGGTTCAATCCGAGCCGTTATCAAAGTTGAATTTGTCAAATTCAACGAGAAAGAAGTTCTGGTGGCATTGACGCGCAAGCATATTTTACATGTAGATGGGAACCCAGTTGCCAACAATGTCACTTCCTTCTCCGTGCATTCGGAGTTTTTACTAATAACGACTTTGCAGCACACTTTACTGTGTTTCAAACTAAACGAAATTGGCCTCAGTCAACTCTGCACCAAAGATTTAACTATCCAGCATTGGAACGACGTAACAAATGAGATTCAACGCACCCAAGGTATTGCCCCAAGCTGGACTTTTCGTAATTTTATTTGCTAATAAAATTTTATCATTTTAGAGTTAAACGTACGTCGAGTTGAAAGAGGTTCAATACTCATAACATCCGTGCCAAAAGGTACAAAAACCATTATTCAAATGCCCCGTGGTAATATTGAGTGCATCGAACCAAGATCACTGTCATTGGTGATAATTGCTGATTTCATCGACAAGCTCGACTATTTCGGAGCTTTCGATTTGATGCGCAAACAGCGCATAGACTTGAATCTATTGTACGATCATAATCCACAATCTTTCGTGGCGAACGTCGAGAAATTCGTAACTGATATTAGCAATTCAAACTGGATGAGTTTATTCTTGTCGGAGTTGAAAGAGGAGGATGTTACTAGAACCATTTATGCTAGTAGTTACGATAATCGAAAGGCTAACGAAAAACTAAAAAATATTGAAGAGATATGCGCTGTACTGAGAGAAATTATGGAGAGAGACTCGGATAATTTTCTACAGGTAACTTAAATTATTTTTTCAATCACATAATTTGTAAAAATACTTCTTTAATTTCCAGCCAATTCTCATAAGCTTGGTAAAGAGCAAGAAGACTATCGGCTTGGAGAATGCACTAAGACGTGTTAAACAGCTTAGATCAAAACATGAAACTTGTTCTGGCGGCTCACCTGAGGAAGCACTCAAATACTTGCTCTACATGGTTGACGTGAGCGTGCTGTACGACGTGGCCTTGGGAATGTATGACTTCGAACTTGTAATGCTGGTAGCTCAAAAGTCACAACGTGACCCGAAGGAATACGTAGCACAGCTTAACGAACTACGTCAACTGGAGCCAAATTACATGAAATTCAGTATAGACTCACAACTCAAACGCTACAGCTCAGCTCTCGAGCACATCGTCAAAATTCCCGACAGGGAAGACGAGTGTTTAGCGTTTATTAAAAGCCACGAGTTGTATGGAAAAGCTCTGAGACTGTTTGACTGTAAGAGCAAGCAGTACAAGAATGTAGCTAACGCTTATGGACATCATTTGAACAGTAAAGCTAAGCATAAGGAAGCTGGAATAATGTTCGTCAAGGCGCAGAATTTTGAAGGCGCGCTGGAAGCTTTCAGACTGGCTGTCAGCTGGCAAGACGCTATTGTCACTGCTGTCAAAATGAATCTCAAGTATGTTGTTTATATGTATCGAATAAAATAATGTTATTGAGAATTATGGTGATAAAAGTATATTTTTGCTTTAGTTTCATTCGACTGAACGAGTTGTACGAAGATTTAGTGACGAGATTACTCGAAGAGAAAAGGTACGATGAGGCAGCATTAATATTATCGAAACGTCTTAATCGATTCGAAGATGCTGTTGCCACGCTATGTCAGGGCCGATTATGGCATCAAGCCTGGGCAGATGCTTACTGTATGAAACGCGAAGATCTCATTGGTAAGTTCAAATCCAATGTTAAAGTTTCTTATAGTACATAACAAGTAATTTCTTGATTTTATTATAAACAGAAACTCACGTTAAACCGGGTATCCTGGATCATGCCGATTTCACATTAACGCAGCTACGCCAACACAGAGAAGACTTTAAAAAGCACAAGAGCCGTTTAACAGTTCTACGTGCTCAAGCAGCAGCTCGAGAATTGAGTATGCATTTTGAATTTGACGATAACGATCAAAGTAACACTGCCAGAGATATTAGTGATTTAATCAGCGACACAACAAGCATTGCCGGCTCGACTGTAACAAGAAGTTCGCAAGCTTCGCATACCACAGGCCGTACTTACAAATCTAGCAAGAATCGCAGGAAACACGAAAGGAAAATGCAGAGTATCAAGGAGGGCAGTGTCTATGAAGATTTAGCACTTATTCGAATACTTCATCAGCTTATTAGTCAGGCTTACAAGCAGAAAGGTAGATATCGACAATACAATTGTTTAGCAGCATGATCTTCAATGGTTAGAAAATTAATTGTTTTTTTTTACATTAGATGAGGTTCGATCTTTGTTGGAAATGCTGCTCTATATTAATAGCGACTGTGTAGCCGAAGAATTGTATAAAGAGATGAATGAGTTTCTAGATGAAATACGAAGAGGCAAGCAAGAGATTTGGTTTCCAGCTGAAATTAGAAGTCCAGAGAGTGATCAACGAAACTCGAGTTCAAACACAAGTCGTATTGTCAATAGTCTATCCGCCACTCTAATAGGTACACGTTGTTTCAAATTTCCAAAGACTTCCTGTTTTTTTGTGAAATATTCATTTGGAAAATTTGATTTCAGAATCATATTTACTTCATCCTCCAGAAGAGAACCCTAGTAACTGGAATCTAGATATTTTTTCAATGTCTTAAAATTGTTATATGGTAATTATGCCAATGTTATAAATTTTTTTTACTGTTTAATGAAAGTGTAATTTTTTCATTTTCTTTTTATACGGAAATTTATATGAAACTGAACTACTTGCAATTTAGATGTATCTTACACAATAGTCAATATACTTATTGGTATTTAAAGAAGTGTGCATAATGTAAACCAGATATACCCATTATTTATTCAATGTATATATAAGATGTGATTTTCAATGTTTAATTATAACTATATTATTTATTAATAATTACAAGCAGATTAGGCAGATATAAAATATGTTGTTTGGTATCATCAGCAATGTATATTATCTTTTTCTATTTCGTAAAATCGATAAAATTAAAATCTACTCAAATGTTTCGTACGTAACTCTTCAACATAAGTAATGCTTTAAATAACGCATGCTATTCAAAAAATTATATTATTGGTTCACTTTATGTGTTTATTTTTATAAGAAATGTGATAAGTCTTAATTTAATTAAATAATAATAGAAAAATACTCTATTTAACGCTTACGCATTTATTTACAAAACATAAGATATTTTACATAACACGATCAGACGAAATCTTCCACACACACAAATATATTAATAGATACAAGTATACAATATTAGTATTTGTAACTAATCTGATAGGGAAAAATTTTGATCAAAGTGAAATTTTAAAATCACAAACTTTTTATTGCGATTTTTTGCAAGTCTTATAAAATAATTTCAGTTTTACATCTATAATTTATTTTTTATTTTGAAATCATGTAATAATCATGTATATTAAAAATTTTATCGATCGCGTAACAAATATTTTCATCAAAATATTTTCTGTAATGTACACATGCACTTTTTTTGTTATTAATTAGTACTTTTGAAATAAAAGAATAATGATAAGTCTTTACGATACAAAAATCTTCGTACTTAACGTTGTATTTTGATTAAAAATATTTGACTATACCAAGTACAAAATTAATACTATATTCACGTTGAAAATGTATAAAAAATTTTTAATTATCATGTAAAAATGTTTTAACAAGCATTTTATAATGAAAAAATGCACTTCCATCAGTCATTTTTTCTATAAGGCTGTGGATAATTAGTAATAATATCAAGAATGGAATAATGCACTCAAGACAGCCACACAATCTCGTATTTTAATAATTTAAATGGAACGGAATTGTATTATTTGAATTATTTTTTTAATTTGTAAATTAACTATCAAAAATATTAACCTGTCATTAAGATCAACGATCATAAAAAATTATAGAAAGGTGATCAAAAACAGCAAAAAATTTAGGAATAGACTCATGGCTGTCAATGTAATTATGAAGTTAAAGTACAATATTAAAAAAATTAAAGAATCAATACCTCCGCAAATTTGGGCACTTGTAAAGAGCGTTAGCGGAAGAACTCGATAAAAATTTAGTTTTTTGTAATGCTGACGAAACGGCACTCACAATGTCACTCAATAAATCCATCGCATGCATCGCAACTATGTATACACTCCATTGTACTATGTTACAAAATTAATATTATTCGATCCTATGATTCGCCAAAGCTTGCAAAGTCGGAGACTTCAATTCCGGACGGAGACTGATTTTCATATGCTTAGGATTGGTGTATTTCCTTCGCACGGCCTGATACTTGCTCTTTTCCGCGTTGATCATTATCACGGAAATCTCTTTCACCACTGGCAAAACGTCCTTCACTCTATACGTGCTGTAGTGCACCAGAGTTTTTGTCCAGATGACTTCACCATCCTGAAGATTGTCATTCCCCAACAACCTAAAAGAATAAATTTTTTAATATTATAACTATAAAATTGAAGTTCTAAATGACCAAAAAACTTTATAAACCGTATATCTTACAGGAAAGAAAGATAGAGTGCAGCAGCAGCAATAAGACTTGGTGGGTGGTGACAGACTTCATAGTAAACTAAACTTTGCTCCAAGAAATATTTTGCCAGTGTATGATGTACTGGCAAAGCCTGAAAAAAAAGGTTATTATTTAATGAGTAATTTTAAAATTTTTGTGAATTACAGGTGTCATCTGATGGAGAAATTTACCTTGCCAGCTTTGCTGTATCTCCTAAGAAAATGCAATGGTAATGGCCTTCCAAATGAAAAGTTGAGAGTCTTAATGATGAGCAGTTCCATCTGCAATATTTCTCCTTTTGTGTAAGCATTGTCTGTAATGTACACAAAGTCACTAATGTCTGGAGAATACATTTCTTCATATTTGCTGGCTATGAACATAGCTGTGACTCCAACCAATTGTAGCCTTTTACGAGTGATTAGTTTGAAGTCCTGAAAAAAAATTTAAGAAGTCTTAGTAAAAAAACTATTGAACTAAAATAAAAATATTGTAAAAGAAACAGCATGTACCTGCAGAAAACGATCAATGATTGCAATAGTTAAGTAAAGTGTTTCTTGCATTAAGTGAAACTGTTCATGAACTTCAATCAGCCAATCGACCAGCACACACCTCATTTTGGGAGTAACTTCTTGACCTTGTAAATATTTTTCTTTGACAGGGAATAGTACTTCCAGATCCCTCAGATGTGCATAAATATCGTTACTATATACAGAAACAAGGATGGGATTTTTTCTATCCTCTTCGTCAATATCTTCAATTGTTATCAGATCCGTGGAAAAGGAGTCTGTCTCTTTCTTAGCAACATTGGAATCAGAGTCCTTCTTATTGGCATTGCTATCAGTCTCATTTTTGTTAGCCTCTGCCAGCAGCCGGTTATCAACATGCACTTCAGTTTTTGGAACAGGCTTTACTATTTGCACTGGTGCCTTCTGCACTGGCTTCTCAAGCTTTTCAAACTTATCGACTTTAATTTGCACTTGCTTGGATATCACTGGTTTCTTTAACAGAACTTTGTCCTTGGTAATTTGACTAGCTTTCCCTGTCAAATCATTAGTTCTATGGTTGTTTACTTTGTTGCCTATCTCTCCAAGAGCTGCTCTCCTTTGACCTGGTACTAATGTCATAGATTTGACATTCTTGACATTCTCCTGGTTAGCAACATTCTGTGGAAAATCCAAATTCAATTAGTATAATTTCAAGTTACTGCATTCAAATTTCATTTATTTGTTTCTTGAATTATGTTGTTTTAAGAATTTTGAATTTAATCTTTCATTAAAAGCTAATAAATATTCTACTTGCATTTTCAAAGCATGGGGCGCATAATTATTTGAACAGATTGAAAATTTATATTAAACATAAATATTTTCTATTTATTGAATAAATGGAGAAATAAGCAAAAACAATAGAATTCCATTTCCGAAGGGTTTGAATGGTCGAAAATGCAACGGAAATTTCTAAGTTTCGTAAGAACGATCAACTCATCGTCATTTATTGTAAGTAATCAACTGTCAACGGGATTGAATGGACAACATTCAAGACAACATTCAACGAAACAAAGTAATTGTATTTTAACGTGCTTTCAAAAGAGATAGTATTCATCTTTTGACGAACACCGTACGCGCCATGGAAAAATGTAAATACCACAACCGTTGGCTCATGCGCGTAATTGTCGAATGTATTTGGACTTTCGCGATAAACACCGAGATTCAGTGCGCCGCAAATTGCAAATCTGATGAACATAAATCACGCAAAACATACTACACTTAATGAGATGACTTTCTTAAGTAGAAAATCAAGGACATACACTCATGAATTGACCGTTTGAAATATTCAAAGTCGAAGAAAATAAAGCAAAAAGAGACAGATGTGGATTAGCAGCGATGGAAACATAAAAGCGCCGTTCAGTTTCCAAGGGCTTAAAAAACGCTGACCAGGTCAGCAAATTTACATAGCACGATGACATCAATATAAATACTACGATACACCAAAGTAAGACGTAATAAATAATAAATAGGACTTTAAATTGGAACAGGACATTTAAACGGTCTTCGTCCAACGGCCATTCGACTATATACACACCCCTTAATGCGACGCTCAAAATGTGTTGAAATCGATAAATTTTTTCAATAAAAATTTACTCACGATATTAACGGCTCGGCTCCTGAACGCCATAGCTACTCCAGACGATCCAAAAAAATGTAAAGTGTTGGTGATACGTCCTCGCCGACAGAAAATCCGACAATGCTTTAACGTCCAACGGTCGCCGCGCCGGTGCTATGCTTCGAAAAGTCACCGGAAGTTCGTCCCTTGTCGGCCGTACAACGATTGGCTGATTCGAGCGCTTGTGTAGCACCTAACTGCCGTTTTCGAAAATATCGCCGAGAAAGAGGGGACGACAACGAACCGGCCTTTTAAACTTGCCTGCGATGTGTAACAGTCATGAACTTGGTTATGAGTATGTGCGTGTATATTTATGCTTGAGAGAGGCGTTCGGTGTGGGGATGCTGGTTGTCGATTGTTATTTGCCGCGCTCTCGAAGATAAGAAGTTTTATGGCGGGATCAAAATGTCTTGTAAACATTTTTTTTTCGCATTTCTCTTTTGATCTCGGTCTTTATTAGTTAATTGAATTGTGGCGCATCGGAGTCCTCAGGTACCCACAGCCATTAAAACGAAACGAAACGGTCTTTATTAGTCTGTCATAGATATGTGTGGTGGAATGGGTAATTACATTAAACTTTTTTGTTAATGTGATTAATTTTTAGCAACCCAGCCAATTTGCAGAAATAAACATTTTTTTGTTTAACGGGTATTACGAAAATAAAGAAATAAAAACTTTCCGCACAGGTGTTTATTTTCGATTGCAAGTAATCGATATCTTTACAAGCGCTCAATATATACATATATATAATAGAATCGAATATAGGGCGCTTTAAACGTGAGTCACGTGATACGTATCTCGTCTGCTTTTGGCCCCGGTCCCATAGATACGTATAAATGCGGACGGACACGGACGCGAATCGCAACTCTAGTAACATCACTAAAAATATCTAGTTCGGTTATTTAGTACCAACACTACAGATAGTAAGCAAAAGTAACTGTTGTTTAAAACTGTAGCGCCGAACGTACCATATTTAATGTTCAATGATTTAATGAACGCTTATCTAACCTTTACATTATTGTAGTCTATAAGATGGCAAATGATAGAGAATTGATAGACTTTCAACTACAATTAGTGGAATTAGGCCTTAATTTTATGGAAGTATATGAGAAGAAGAAGAAAATATATATAAATGATATGTATTAATCATCCCAAAAGCTTTTTTTACATTAGCATACTCATCAATAAGCAATATTCATGAGAATTTGAAAAGTAAATTGCAGACCTGACATTTGAACATTAAATGTGGTATGTACACCCAACGTGGATTGAATCGCGACCCCCCCAGTTAGGTTGGTATGAGAATTCCGTCGTTGCATCGGAACGAAAAAACCGCGGGAATATACAAAAATGAAAATTCGTTTTAAGATACGATAAAAAGCTAAAACGTTACTAATTTGTTTTTAGGTTTAAAATTAATTGTTTGCCGAATAATGAATTTAGATGCATGATTATTTGATTTTAGGTTTTAATTATATAATTTAAGAACGAGCGTTATACTATGGCCGATATGAAAATCACCGTTACGGACTGAAAGTAGCACTCATAGTCTCATACCAACCTAACTGGGGGGGGTCGCGATTCAATCCACGTTGGGTGTACATACGTTCGGCGCTACAGTTTTAAACAACAGTTACTTTTGCTCACTACCGGTAGTGTTGGTACTAAGTAATCGAACTAGATATTTTTAGTGATGTTACTAGAGTTGCGATTCGCGTCCGTATCCATCCGCATTCATACGTAGCTATGGGACCGGGGCCTTTAGGATGATTTAATCTTGTTATCTACATTAGATGGTTATACCGCAGGATTGCATTGCAGTATGCATTGCACGTTCAACGGTATTTTAGTGCATAAAATATTATCTGAAGAAAAATGGAACAATAATATGAATAATTTTTGCCAAAATAATACAATTATATTATTACGTTAGAATTTGTACTGTAAATAGATAGAAAAAAATTGTTAAACTATCGCGATGTCAGTTAATATTGATATCAGGCTCAAACGAGTTAGCAAAATCTATCGGGAGGGTGTAAGTTCTTTTTATCTCTAATTTTTTTTTCATTTTAATTAGATGATTAAATTAATTTGAGGGTTAAGTTTTTTGTTTTGTTTATTTGAATATCAATTTGTCTAAATAGGTTATCTTAATAAGATATAATTTTCGTCATGTGATGTGAAAAATCAGTACAGTAATTTTATTTCTGTTTTTTGTTATAGGAGACCGTTACTGGTTTAATTTTATTACAAACAAATTCCGATTTAAAACATGATGGAATATTTCTGACAATGGAAGGAGCAGTCAATCTACAGCTGAGTTCAAAAACTGTTGGCATTTTTGAAGCATTTTATAATTCAGTCAAAGTAAATTCTTCTTACTCTATGTGATCATGTCTTGCATGCATGTATTAATGTTTATATTTGTCACTTCAGCCAATACAATTAATTCAGTACACAGTGGAAGTAGTTCCAGCAGGTAAAATTCCAAGTGGAAAAACAGAAATACCATTTGAACTGTCAGTGAAACCTCGAGGCACTAAAACTCTTTATGAAACTTATCATGGGGTGTTTGTAAATATTCAGTATATGATTCGGTGTGACATCAAAAGGAGTTTTCTTGCAAAAGATGTCAGTAAATCACTTGAATTCATAGTAGAAGATAAGCCTGTGAAAAAAACTAATAAGGAGTCAAATAAGACTATATTTTTTAAAATCAAACCAGAATCTCTTCAAAATACGAGGGACAGATCAATTGTTCCAAGATTTTGTATTGCTGGAAAAATAAATTCATTGTATTGCAAACTGTCTGAACCATTAACAGGTGAAGTTGTTGTAGATCATTGTGAAGCTGTGATTAAATCCATTGAGTTGCAATTAGTAAGGGTAGAAACTTGTGGATGTGCTGAAGGATATTCAAGAGATGGTAAATTTATTTTTTCAAGATTATTCATTAATAAGTAAATTTGCTTACATATATATACTTTATTGCAGCAACTGAAATACAAAATATACAAATTGGAGAAGGAAATGTATGTGCTGGTCTTGGTATACCAATTCATATGATTTTTCCTAGACTATTTACTTGTCCTACTTTGAGTACTAGTAACTTTAAAGTTGGTGAGTCTTGAATACAAATTAAAAATGTCACAATTCATTTAAATACTAATTATGGCAGCCCTTGTAGTTCACTATAAATCGTTTTTAATTTTTTTTTTTCAGAATTTGAAGTAAACCTAATTGTTGTATTTGAAGATGATTACCTTGTGACAGAAAATTTTCCTATAATTTTGACGAGGCACTAATTTGTTTTTACTTCAAATAGTTTGTTAACTGTACAGTTTTTATTATACATATTTTATATTTTAATGTACATAATTGGTATTTTGATAAATTAATTCGATCATGACTTAGAAAATTTAATATTTGTTACCTATAAAATATTGCACAATAATTTTCATTTGTTATGTAAAAATTGTACTATTCTTTTATCAGTCTAGACCAAACCTTCGCATTAAGAGCCTAAAGTATCTTTCAACATTTCTGTTATGAGATAATCCAACAGAAGCAAGTAGTACAACATAGCCCAGCATGAAAGTTAACAGTTTGTGTTGTCTTAACCATTCTAAAACTCTATTATTGCGGGTCGATCTAAAATATTCAAGTAAAACATGAATTTATTATTTTTTTTAATTGAATTTATTGTTAAAACAATGTCTTATAAAATTTTTACCTTAAACGTCCAAATTCTTGACTGTATACCAAAAGATACCGAATTTTGACAAGATCACTGTTTGTTACAAGACAGTATTTGTTAGGCACTTTACTGCCAGTGGATTCTATTGTCATATTTCTTGAACTATTATCTAAATTGATAAAAAAAATATATGAGTATGAAATTGAAAATCTCTGAGGAGTAAACAGAATTAAAATAACCTTCAGTGCCAATTTTTACTTCTGGATGATTGATAATTTCACACAATGCAACACAACTCATATCACTGCCTAATATACTGCCACCCCATCCATAACCAACTGGACTGTAGGGTAAACTGACTGCTAGTTCATTAGACAGGTAAATACCTTCACCAAATAAAGCTTCCTATAAAGAAAAATCGTTATTGAGCAGCATGTATAGACTACTTATCCAATCTTCAGTCTCAAATAATAAAAGGTGATGTACCTTGCACATATGTTGCTGCAAACCATAATGTAAAATAGAATGAAAATTTTCTAATCTGCTTCCATGAAAAGCAAAAAAGGTAGAACGTCCCTTGGCTAATTCTCTCCACCTTTCTTCGTTAGCAGATTGTTTGGCACTTGCTACTTGAAATACCAAGTTAGGGGCTGCAACAGCTACCTCTGAGTTTACTCTTTTTAACACAGATTCATGCTGCAAAATACAGATTTAATGAGTACTTATTAGAGATATAAACAAATAAAACTAGTACTTACGCAGTCTTTACTGATACTTTTGACGTGTAAATCTCCTAGTTTTAATAAAACCCAGTACAGCAACTCTATGAAATCAGACTTACTTTTGTAAATATTGGGTTCTCTTAATTCTTGAGCTATTATTGGCAATGGTGGTACAAGCTCTACAACTCTCCTCTGAATATAAAATATATCAAATCAGTCTGTACAAGCTAATGTTAAAGCAAATATTATGAGAGTTTGTAACTCACTAGTGAGTCGATATCTTTAGTGTCGTTCTTCATGTACATTGGGGGAAAAGGTCTGAGGCAGGTGTCAGTGCGGTAAGTATGACAGGCAGCAACAAAGAGGGACCATTTGAGATCAGCAGCTTTGAGATCTTTTTCAAGGACATATTTGAGAGCAAGAACCTTCTTTTCAACGTCTTCTTTGCTGATAAGACTTTCAACCGGACTAGCCGTGTACAGAGCTTCGAATTCCGGTTGTTTTGCTACACTGGCGTCGTCTTTGATGTCTAAGCAGTCGTCGAACTTCTCGTCGATACAAGCCATTTCTATGCGATTATGAATTGATTTGATCGATTGTTTACTTTGCTACGCTCTGAAGGTTAATCGCGAGTCAATGGTTGCGACTTACTAAATCGAAGTTGCGAACAGGTACGATGAATTTTTGACTACTTTAACGTCATGATACAGCAAAAAAATTAAAAATAAAGAACTCGGGACGATGGTTAAATGCACACAAAAAATGAGCTGTCTGCCCGCTGTCGTCTTTTGTTGTGCTGCTGCTGCCACTTTGCCAGTATATACGAGACAACGGGACACGTAGTCTAGCAGACAAAATAAACCAGTGGGGGCAACATATCGAATCGAATACTTGAATGATTAGCGCGATACGCCGATATACTATCAACACATAGATGCATTGTATTTGATCTACTTCAAATGGAAGAGTGAAATTTTTCTTATCATTTCTTTTATCGTATAGATTAGAGAATTTATTGCGAGGTGAAAACTAATGCATTTTTACGTATGAACTATGAAATTTACTTAGATATGTTTATTGGTAGCTCTGATATTTGAAACTTGAAAAAAAATGTTGCTTATACGGATAATATAAGTATAACTATGGAGAAAAAATGAGATTAATGATTTTGAGCAAACAAAATGTACGTATGAATTAATATTGTATCATTTTGCAGCCACAAAAGCAATAAACTTACATTTCAGCGAGCATTTACTATATTAAATGACGTCTACGCAATATCAAAGAGGCAAAGTATTGTTTTTTTAAACACGACTTTTTCTGTAAAAAAAATCCAGAAAAGTGTTCGTCTGCATGTGGGTATTATTTGTTATAGTATTATTTATATTATTATTCATTAATTTAGATTCAATGAAAATGAAAACTTTAACTTTGCTTTTGATAATGGAAAAATGCAGCAGAATTCACAAGTACGAAATAAGAGTGAAGATGCCAGTAATATCCGTAATATTACTAATGTTTGTACCAATTTAATTCCGTGTACCTAACATCTATTAGGTTTATAGACTTAACTTAACTTAAGGTGGAATTAACAACTCATACAAATTCCGTTTCACTGGCACAAGAATCAACTTTATAAATCCCACGTCTATAAAAGAAAATCCAACGTCACACAAAACGCATGTCGGACCTAACACGGTTGTTTCTACTAGAAGGGTGGTGGCGCTTGGAGGATTAGACAGGGCTGACAGCGCACGTCCCTATTCTACTGCCACGGCGGCTGGCGGCTCTCCCTTTCACAGTAGAACACGCATATAGGGTGGCGGTGCGATCAGCCCACGTCTGACAATACGCGCTCGTTTCTACTGAGCTTCCGCCCGGGGATTAGCTCGTTTTCGAAGGGAATTGCGACGTTTTTGTTTTTGGCTTGGGACAAAAAAAACACGAAGAGAGACATTCGACCACTTTTTTCTTGTCGTTTCGGGCTGATTTACGACAGGATTCGCAAGGACAGCGACAACAATAACTGAGCGAATAATCTGTCTGCGTGGAAACGGCGCAGCGTAACATATCTTATGTACAAATACGGGTTTTGAAGAAAAAAAAAGGAGAGAACTCGTTGTTTACGCGAATTACAAGCAGTTTTCTGGAACGAGCACCGTCTTGTACAGCGTCCACTATAAAGAAATCCATCCTTCTGCGTGCTGAGTTTTCAAGCCTCTCACCCTGAAACTTTTATACGGGCAACAACTCCTCTCTCTCTCTCTCTCTCTCTCTCTCTCTCTCTCTCTCTCCCACTTTTTCTCTCGCTTGACCGAAGCAAGCAAGAGCGAGGACAAAAAAAGGACACAGAAAAATAAAAAGAAGAGAGAAGGCGGTTGCACATACACGGAGCGGAGACGGAAAGTGCGAGAGTGAGAGTCTTTCTCGGTTGCGAGAGAGAGAAACTTGCTTGTGGTGCCATTGGGTGGCTTGCGATTGGCCGCACTGCGATTCAATGTCATGCCTCAAGGTAAACTATCAATGACGTCAGCGCACGTCACATTAACAAGTGGGAGTGGATATGGATGTAGCCGCGTTCGCGGCTCTGCGCGCGAGCGAGCGACAGAGACAGAGAGAATGTGTGTAGTAGTCCGCGCGCAAGTAAAGTAAGCGAGCCGCAGTTCGAGGCGCTCAGCTCTGCCCGCGCAGTTCTCTCTCGCTCGCACTCGCGTGCGTGCGTGTGTGTGTTGCTACAAAAAAAGAAAAGAAGAGGAGGAGGTAAACCGACAAGACGGAAGAGCAGAAAAAAAAAACAAAACTCGACGGAAAATCACGAAAAGAGATACGCAGATACAAGCGCAAGCGCGACGAGTGTTGACTTACTCGCGGTTGAATTACTCGGTCGGTGCGGCGCGATCGCTGGTCGGTCGTTCGTCGGTTGGCAGTGCGGCAGCATCGAAAAAGCTACCGAAAAGTGCTACTGGTGCAGGTCGTGCAGTCGATGGAAAATCACCGAAAAGCCCGTGCGCATGCCCGCGCCCGATGACGTCACGGCTCTTCTCCGCGAGTGTAGCAGCACCATCAGCAGGCAGCAGCACCACCACCAGCAGGCAGCAACAGCAGCAGCAGCACGAGCAGCAGCCTCCGAAAAAAAAGAAGATACAGTGAGAGAGTGAGAGAGAGATAGACATATTCTGTAAGAGCTTCCATTGTCATCAAGCGCGAGACGTTGTCGTCGGTGTTGTGTGTCCCGCAGACAGGGGCAATGCTGCTGCGCATCACCGGCAAACGCGACTTGGTAAGTTTTGATAACCAATTGATACTCTCCCTCTCTCTCTCTCTTTCTCTCTCTTACTCTCGTCGCCATACTTTTTTCACGCGCTCACACTCTACGGGTAATGCTGCTGCTATATGCCAGACTCCCCCCTCTTCTCTTCCATCTCTCTCTCTCTCTCTCTATTTCTCTTTCTCTCTCTCTTTCTCCCCTTCCTTTCCATCTTCGGCCTTGCCGATTTTTCGAGACAACTTGCACGAGCCGTAGACAACTTGCTCGAGAACGAGAGTGAGAGAGAGTGAGAGAGAGAGAGAGCTTTAGTGAGGTTATGCACAGTACGAACAAACCAGTGAGCGAGCGAGAGAAAAACAGAGACGGAGATGCTTTATTGATCTCGCGACGCTCAGATCGAATTCCAAAGGAGTCTCTTTGCTCGTACTCTTTCACTGGGTCACTAAGCTTGCGCTGCCGGTAGATTTTTTTCTCTTGTCTTCGCTTGTTTTCTCCCGAGAAAGGGAGAGGAGAGTTGAATAATGGATTGTTGCAATTTATCATTGAGTTTTCTATTAGATTTTTTCCTCTCTCTCTCTCTCTCTCTCTCTCTCTCTCTCTCTCTCTCTCTCTCTCTCTCTCTCTCTCTTACATAGTGATTCTTTGGTCTTAATTTATTGTCATTTATAAACGAAGCTTTATGGCAGATTGACGATAATACACTCGCTAACGTCGACAATGAAAATTACACGGGGCTGAACGAAAAATCCGAGAAAATGATTATTCTTCCGCGCATATTTCAGATGTTTACCATGCAACTATTCGAGGGAAAGAAAATCTCCCGGCAGTTTTCGGATTTTTATTGAGATATACACATTTCAATAAGAATTATCTCACTTTCGCACTCTTATCAGTTTACTACAAGGCGATATACACTGTGGAAAACTTACATACACGGAGAGTTTACAAGCGCGAATAATCGAACGTTATTGCAGGCTTGCATTGATCTTGCCACTGTTTTTTTTTGGGGAGAAGCCGCGGTATCTCAATACAAGTATTTCGAGCAACAAAAGCAAAGCAGATGCGTAGCTTGATTCTTCGATGGGATTATACAGAAACCGAAAGAAAAATTGAAAAGAACAAGAAGGAAGGTGCAGTGTTGGGTGACAATGAGCGTGACGCACGGAGAGTGAAAATCGATAGCTCCTTTTTCTTCTTCTTTTTCTCGCGCGTCCGTCTTTCAACGATTTTAATTGAGCCGGACACATCGTCGCCGACTTGGCATCGTAGCGATTTGCAAAATGGACATGTTGAATGGGCCGTTGGTAAAAAAAATGTCGAAACTATTTAACGATGATGGTCCGTGAGCTGTTTGTTATTGTGTAGCACGCGAGTTTGCGTTGATTTCCGATGAAAACAACGGAACGTGAGTACTGAGAAGGCAGGGGTGACACCCGTTTCTACCAAACTTTCGTCGCAGCAAATGCCTTGAACTTACGTTGTCCAAAGTGTCGACATTCCCAAGGTCCCTGAAAGAACTTATGCCATTTAAATTTCACGCGAGAGAAATAAAGGAGGTCCGATGTACGTATATGTACGATTGAACTTGGCTTTCATTCACGAATTCAGCGTTTTATCGAGCGCGGGTGGTATTTCATGCTAATCTCGCTCTGCGTGTATGTGTACACACACACGCACGCACGTAACAACGTCTCGAGCAAAATCCTACATAACGTGTCCGATGATAATCGCGATCCAAGTGACGGTATCAATCCTTATCCTTTGGCTCCCTTCGCTACCGTGAACGAAAGAAACAGAGGCAAAGGAACGCGCGTTGCTTTCGATCATTCATCGCCGTCGGACACCGTGGACAGTTTGTTTCACTCGGCACCGAGCGTCTTCTCCGTCGACAGTGCCCATGTTTGCTCCTCGAGTCTATCGGCACGAAAAGCGCGATCGTTAGCGCCGAACTCGTGGGAAGCGCGACCGTGCTTCAGAGCCGCAAGCCCGCGCCGTGCAAAAATCTTGGAAGCTGATGGAATAGTCGAGTCGATCGAGCGACAGGCATCGTAATCTCGGTAAGGTTTCATAACGGAGAGCATCGCGGCGCGATGACTCGCGCTCCTCACGCACACAGCGCGTTCGTTTTTTTTTTCCTTTTTCCTCGCGCACACCTATACACGACCCCTCTCTTCTCCGCCCAACATTATGTCATCCGCAGAGCGTGCATTTCAAAAAACAATCAATCTCGCCTTCACACGCGGCGATTAATAACGCACGTGCGCGCTCGACGAAAATCCGGTACAAGGTCACGTGAAATTTTTCGAGTCGGCGACACTCGCGCCGCAAGAGAGAGAGAGAGTGAGAGAGAGAGAGAAGCGAGAGCGATCTTGGGTTTTCTCTGGCGTTAGAGTTGCATGTGCGAGAGCGAAGCGAAGCGCGGCGCAGTCCGCGACGACGACCACACCGGCAGTAGTCGCCATCTGCACGAGCGTTTTGTTTACTGAGTAATCGCGTACGAGCGAGTCGACAGCGCGCGAGGGAAAGAGTTGCTCATCGGTAACGTAGGAGCTCGACGACGATCGCTGGGCGAACCGAAAGCTTTTCGTTGCTCTCTCGCTCTCGGAGAATTCTCATTCACGTGCTCGTGTTGTGATCCGCGTATTTGATCTCCGATAAGAGTGCGTGATTTGCAATTTCGACGACACGTCTACGAGATTTCCGATTTCACGCGTAAAGTACGATCCCGGGGCAAGCGGAATTCATTCAAGCGCAAACTTTTCCCGAGCGCGGACATTAGCCTAACAAAAAAAAAAAAAAAAAAAAATCAAAAAAAGAAAGAAAAAGCCTGGCTTCCATTCATGAGTAGCGTATGACGGGTGTGCGGCACTGTGGTTGCCCCATTGACAGATCTAAATTTATCGCTGAAAGAGAATGGAAAAAAGTCTCCCTCGTCGGCGGCGCGCGTAATTTTAAACCGAGCCGCCTAAATAAAGTTCGGCGCAGGCCGATAATACATCGTTGTATTTTAAAGGGCCGTGTTCGATGCATAATGCAGCTTAACAAACTCAACTATTCACTCGGTGCTACGTTGGTTTGGCTAAGTGAATAGCTCATTAAAGAATTTGCGGAATTATCTCTCTCGTATCGATTGGTTTATTAAAGTCTCGCAACGGGTACGATGACTTTTTCATGCAATCGGGAAAAAATATAGAAAGAAATTCCTCGGATCCCGTATTAAGTCGATATCGTAATTGTTTGCAAAAATTGACCATTTTTTTTCTGCTTCACGGGCGTGCATGTACACGGGTCCGCGGTAAAAAGTGAGTTTCGTGCTCCAGTTTGATTGAAAAGTCAGTGAATAGTGGCGCGTTTCATAACACTCGACTGTATTTTTTATTCTTTTTCATTTCGAAACACGAAAAGTTAGTTTTACAAAGCGACGAATGCAAATACTATTACGAAGAAAAACTCGCCGATCGAATTTTCCAGCGCCCAAAATATCGCCGTTTCATTCGTTCGGCGTCGATCCTATATCTTTCGACCAGCGTGGCATCGCGATTAAAGTGATTGGTAAAAGAAAAAGTATCGCAGCCGCTGATTGCAACCGCGTGCCCGTCGATCCAGTGCTGGTTGAAACGGCGATCTTCGGCCATTCGCCAATGTGCCGGCCGCTGGACGTTGCGACGAGCCGATCGCGATAATTCGCACGCGCGGGCGAGATAAGCCAAGTAATTAGCCGAGCGATCTGGATCGACCGTCGAAGTGCCGCCGAGCGCGTCTCGCGTCGAAAGTGTCCGCTAGCTCGCGCGAGGATCATCGGCCAGACGCGCGGCAGTCGGACGACAACGAGCGCGCATCCGTATCGCGGAATCTGGCCGCTCGGTTCATTGTTGGGCACCGACCTCGGCGCGACCCAAAACGATTGACCGGTGATACGCGCACTGCGTCTCGGCAGAGGAGCAGCGGCGCGGCGCGGCCGTATTCGCGAGCTGCGGCTCGGCGAGCGCCGCGCGCCAGATTATGATATCGGCTCTCGAGCGCGGACCTAGCTGACATAACCGCGCGCGCGCTCGTCGTCGTGTCGCTTACGTCGGTATCAAGAATGGCGCTTATCGCGCGGCGACGCTGCCAATTTCGCTCCACCTCTGCTCTTCCGGCAGGCATGCGTTGCGCGCCGACCGGCCTCTCGATGGCGCTCGCCGGTGAAAGTACGCGCGCGCGCGCTCGCGTCCAAGGCTTCGCGGATCGAACATGGAATCCCCGTCGATCGCGCGATTTGCATTCGAAAAGCGTCCACGCGAGCGACGCAGCGCGTTTCTTTTCCGCGTTCGCCTACCGCCGGCATCGTCGCTCTCCTTCGCCCCGGTCAGCGTACGATTCATCTTTATCGGAGAGAAACAAACGCCGGATTTTGCGAAACTGGAAAAAGCAGAGTCGATTCGAGCACGCAGCGGCGTCAGAGTAGGAATAATAAAAAGAACGAGAAGCGGCAAGCAGGCGGGAAAAGATGAAGACGAAGTGTCGCGCGGTGCCTCTACGTACGCGACAAATCGATCGCTCTCGTCGCTCTTTCCATCCGACCTTAATAAGTACAAAAAAATCAGGCGGGCGCGAAACAACAAGTGTCCGTCTACGCTGAACGGCAAACAGCCACAAAGAAAAAAAAAGGCGAGCGCGCCGATGATCAGTCTAGCGATCAGAGAGATAGAGAGAGAGAGAGAGAGAGAGAGAGAGAGAGAGAGAGAGAGAGAGAGAGAGCGAGCGAGCGAGCGAGCAAGCAGGGAGGCGGTCGGTGGCGCGCGCGCACGTGGCGATAGGACCACGTGGTGGTGGACGGCTCGATGGCCTGTACATACCTGCGTCATAGGCAGGCAGCAGCACCCCATCTCGCGCTTATCGATTGAGGGTGGCCATGGTCGTCTCCATGGCAACGTTTTACCTGCCTGCCCGACGAGTTTACTCAGCCATACACAAGGGGATGGATGAGAGACACAGAGAGCCACGTAAGTCCATGATCGTTTGCAAGACGT